CCGAATTCCCATGGATACAATTCCATCTTAGTAGTGGTGGACCGGTTGACCAAATGGGCCATTTTTATCCCGACTACGACGAAGTTAACCGCAGCTGGCCTATCCGAGTTGATAATGGACTATGTGGTAGCTCAGCATGGGCTACCAGAGAACATAGTGTCTGACAGGGGATCGAAGTTTACCTCGAAATTTTGGAAGAACTTGACCGATAGTCTCGGGATAAGACTACATCTCTCTACTGCATATCATCCGCAGACTGATGGACAGACTGAACGAACCAACCAGTCCTTAGAGCTCTACCTTCGAATCTTCACTTCTTATCAGCAGAACGATTGGTCGAAGCTGCTTGCTCGAGCTAGCTTCGCCTACAACAACACCCATCATTCTGCGATAAATAAGACACCATTTTATGCGAACTATGGGTACCACCCTCGATGGGCTGAAGAAATCAAGGCCAGCGAAGTCGAAGTGCCCGCTGCTATGGTGGTGGTAAAAGACTTGACTGAAATACACAAAGATTGTATCGAAGGAATTGAGAAAGCTAATGAGAAGTACGCCGAAGGATACAATAGGAAACACCGGACTACGCCGAACTTCGCAGAAGGAGACCTAGTGATGCTGTCGTTAGAGAATATTAAGACGAAGAGACCAATGAAGAAGTTAGATGTTAAACAAAGTGGGCCGTACAAGGTAGTACGGCAGGTAGGTTCTCATGCTTGTAAATTGGAATTACCAGGAACGATGGCAGGTATCCATGATGTATTCCATGTCTCCTTGCTCCGTCCTTATCACCCTCCAATATTTCCTGGTCAGCAAGCTGAGCCACCTGGCCCAGTAGAAGTAGACAATGTGGGAGAGTCTTGGGAGGTAAAGGATATTGTAGACTCTAGAGTAAATAAGAGATCAGGAAAGTTAGAGTACTTGGTGGAGTGGTTAGGTTACGAAGGAACAGACGACTCAGTATCATGGGAACCAGTGGAGAACGTCGATGGAGCTGACGACATATTGGCGAAGTTCCACGAACTTCACCCTACTAAGCCGAAGGAGGGGCGACTGCGAAGGGCTAGGAGATAGAACGTACTGCATACAACATAGGATTACAGCTACGTACCGCTCACTTGTCCTTACTCTTACCCTTACCTTTTCCTTTTCCTTTCTCCTTCGATCTACTCGGTCCCGCGGGATTGGTGTGGAGGCTACCGATGACCGAAGGTAGATCGAGAGTCTCAGACGGGAACGCAGTAGAGAGAGAAGCATTCCATGCCCGATTCATAGCCCCGAAGAAGTCACCGAAGTCCTGGACATCTCGAGCAGCTTGCATGCTTGGAGTCCTCCACAGAGAACGTATGGTCCGTAGACACTCGAAGGGAAGACTGAGGAGGTCGAGAGCAGTCTGGGCGGAAGCTGGGACACGAGAACTACTACGGCGACCTAACCAGTCAAGGGACGGTGGTGGCTCATACGCCATAGGAGTGACCAGGAAGGGGGTGTCGAACAGTCTTCGGCGAACATCGGCTATCTCAGTAAGGCTTCGGCGAGAGACGTCCGCTAACCTCGTCCTTGCTCCGTCGTCCAGAGCCCCAGTGTTGACTGCATCTACTAACGCCGCAGTGAGATTGTTTAAAGCGTTAGCTTGACGAGAAGAGAAGTCAAGCAGGAGAGATGTATCATTTCGGGCGGCCTCGAGCTGAGTAGTGAGACCGAGGACGAGAGAACGATAAGTGGCAAATTCCTTTTCGTCCTCAGGAATACGGACGTCCAGGGAGATACGAGGGTGGACGAGGGACAACCGGGGAGCAGAGGGACCAGCACGCTGAGTATCTTCACCTTCCACATCACCATCATTGAAGGCAACCTCCTTCCCTTTAGATTTCCCTTTTGATTTCTTTAAAGAGGACTTCGGTGTCCTCTGGGAAGCAGAGGGAGGGGTGACGGGAGGGGCCGCCGAAGTGGCCGGAGGAACAGAAGGACGCCGACTTCGGGTGCTGTGAGCCGGAGGAGAAGCTACCACTGGAGAGGACGGACGTGGCGCCGAAGGACGAGAGGCCGAAGGACGGGAGGCCGAAGGACGGGAGGCCGAAGGAGCAGAGGCCGAAGGACGGCGAGAAGACGAAGGAGGAACAGCCGGGAGACGTGATGGGCCGGCCACAGGAGCGAAGGGCGACGGCGACGGAGGCGACGGGCGGAGGTCCGGCGAAGTACGGCGAACCGACCGGAGAGACGAAGACGGTACCCGCGAACGGGGGACAGACGCTGGAGTCTGGGGAGGGGGGAGAGGAGAAGCGTCGAAGGGACGGGGCGGGATGTCCCGGGCAGAGGAAACGGGACAGAAGGAGCAGGGGCCAGACGTGCATGAAGCACAACGGAGGGCCTTGTTGTGTGGCCTGACTGCCTTGAGGCAGGGCCAGTTTGGACGATTATACGTGATAATCTCACGTCTACTAATTAGCAGGAGTAACTCCGGCGTAGTACGAATAGGTGGACTCACCGGCAACGATCACACGCTTCGTCAACACCAACCGCGATCCAACGACCAGGCTCGGACTTCATCTTCTCCCACAAGTACTCTTCTTCCCGCAGTGATCTCTTCACCCGTTTGGGCGAAGGTTCCCCTCTGGGAGAAGGGGGGGGAGCAGCGACGGGGGCGGGCGGGAGCAGGACCGGCGGCGGGAAGCAAGGACCGGCGGCGGCAGCAGGAGCGATAAGCGGCGGCAGCGGCGGCAGCAGCGGCGGCAGCGGCGATGGCGTTGGGGGGGGGGGAGAACCCCGGAAGAGGAAGAAGAAGAGGAAGAAGAAGAAGAGGAAGAAGAAGAAGAGGAGAGGGAACGGCGTCGTTTCTGGCCCACAATTTGAGCAGGGGGAGGGGCAGGAGCGGCTGCGAGTTAGCAATGTCTTGGAGAGCTAAAGAACAGATAAACAAGGCCAAGTTCGGCGAAGGTGTGAGAGGTTGGACGAAGAACTCACGCTCAGGACTATCTACGTTGTTGTCCTCTACACTAACCGCCACCATATCATCATCCGAGTGTTCCTCTAACTCGGTTTCACCCTCCGACACGATTCTATCATCCTCATCACTATAATCACCCCCTTTTCCTTCGAAGTCTGACTGATCGTCCGACTCCGAACCACTGAGCGACTCCTGGTCGGAGGAGGACGGAGACTCACCAGGACGAAAGGCGGGCGTCCTGCGGCGAGGGCTGGCGGCAGGAGGGGAAGCAGAGCGAGAACCAGGAGGAGGAGAAGCAGAGCGAGAACCAGCGGGAGGACCGACGGGAGGAGAAGCGGAGCGAGGAGGCGGGACATCGCCAGACGGCTCCCCCAAAGAGAGGGTGCCGAGGCCGAGGGAGGAGACTTGGCGAGATCTGTCGCCGAAGGAAACTGAACATCAGCCAAGTCCGGCGAAGTAAGGTAAGTGTCGAGGAATAACTCACGAGCAGACGACACCATACCACCAAAGTTCCTCATGGCGGCGAAAGGGTTAGAGGTGGGAGTAGGAGGGGCCATGACGTTAAAAATACTTAAAGAAATAAAAGATGATTCAAGGTAACAAATCTGTTTTCTAGGTAAGAGAGATAGAAAGTTTTGAAAGCAGATGGGAAAAAGAGAGAAGCTCGACGAACTGCTCAGTATTTAGTATAATCAAACCTAAACCCTCGTCGTCAACATGCGGCAAACTTCGCGTTTCATCAACAAAAGGCATCGCAGGGACGATCAAAATTCCCACGCTATAGTGTCTCATCTCAATATAAGCGAGGGTTACTTCGACAAACAACGGTGTTATTCGGCTGCCATTCAGGAAGCGTGTCTCACCTACAAAAGACACAGGGCTTCTTACGGCAAACCTCGACGAAGTTAGGGGAGTCTCATTGTCGGGTTTTGGAGTGAAAGGAGGCCCACCTACGAAGTGCGGCGCAAAGAGCAGAAGGGTGAAAGATGGTCATGGGGAGGGAGAGAATGAGGGTACTACGCTGCTAAGTTCTCTTGACACGACAGAGGTGTAATCGCTCACGAGGACGTTCGCGGCTAAAGAAGGGGGCGACTGTCACGAACTACGTCGTGACACCTCGATTATTCCACCAACAATGACCCTCCTTTGACCATCAAAACCCCCATCACGCCTTAACCTCTTTACTCTACACGTAACTCAGGACTTCTGAGACCAAGTGCGGCGAAGTTAGACGGAGTTAGGCTAGGTAGGGACAATGGGAGCAGAAGTGCGGCGATGTTAGGCGGAGTTAGTCTAAGTAGGGACAATGGGAGCAGAAGTACGGCGAAGTTAGACGGAGTTAGGCTAAGTAGGGACAATGGGAGCAGAAGTGCGGCGATGTTAGGCGGAGTTAGTCGAAGGAGGAAGAGGATGGCCGAGGGCTCGGGGAAGTTGGACGAAGTGCGTTGAAGTACGTCAAAGCGCGAGAGGGTTGGATGAACGTCTAGGAAGAGTAGATAATATTAGCTGAGAAGATCGCTGAAGTTCTTCAGCGATCCTTGATTGTTGTCAGTAGTGAAAGACAGATAGAGATAGCTATAAATCAAGATACATCGCCATCAGTAGAACAAAACCCTAGTTAGAGTAACTACGCCGAAGTACGCCGTAGTTACACCCCTTTCGACGTCTGCGCCCTCCCGGTTGGGTGAGACATCGACTCAGAGCGTGAAGTTAGCCGAGGTTCGTCGACCGTCGGTCTATTAAGAAATAGTTGTTCGACGGCCGTGACAACGACACAGAGGTCATTATGAGGAGAGTAGAAATGGGAACTTTGTTATGTTATACACAGAGGTATGTGGTCTTCCGACTGTTAATCTGTTAACGCTTATAATTAGATGATAATACAGAGGGGAAAAAGAGCATGCATCAATTCTACATGTCTCTATACTTATCACATTCCACTCACACGCATAAAACCAGAGACGATCGAATAAAGTTCAGAGGATAAGTTGAACGGAGAAATATTCGACGGAAGGGGTAATTCTAACGGCGGTTCGGCCGTCCTGGCCCGATTCTATCGGCTAACATCACGGCTGCCTTCTTGGTGTTCATACGGATAGTCAGCAAGATCCTCCTTTTCACTTTCACTGTCAGAATAAGACCAATCATCTTCCTCGTCTTCATCCACGTCATTCTCGTAGTCTCCTCCTCCATCAATCTCGCCAGCGTTCACTTGTGAATTGAGTGTTTCCTTCCCTCCAACTGCCTCATCATTGTGTGGTAGTTGGTGGGTCATCGGGCGTCTTTGCGACTTTTCTTTGACCGAACTGACCCCATCTTCAATGATCTTCATGAGTGATTGTAGTCTGAGTTCTGGGCTTTCCCCCAACCTAAGACTCCCAATGTCCAGGCCATCCCAACGGGTCCCCCCCACCCATTTTTCTTTGCGCTGAGCAAGGTCTTCCTCTGTGCCCGGTTCATAAGTAGGTATAGTGTTGTACTTCCAACTCGAATAGAATTCTGTCAATTGCTTGAATTCTGACTCGGAAAGAGGAGCAATCTGTTCAGACAGGAAGGCTCGCAGCTCTGCACCTGAAGTGTCCTTGGTATTGTTTGTCTCATTGACGGAAAGTTGAGGGTGTTCGGAAGACATGGTAGCTTTGACCTACAAGTTGAAAGCTGATGTGATGATGATGTGGACAAAGTGTATTGAGCTGTGAAAAGGTAACAAGTCATGGGGGTGGGGATATTAGGGGAAGCACTAATGTATTATCGTAGCGACCTCTTGGAGGAAATGTCGACTTCACACGCCATCTCATATGACCTACAAGGGAGTGAGATAAGACGCACAATGGATGAGAGGGGTACAAAGGGCATGAGAGGTAAGTCGTTAGAGATTGAAAACGTGTCGGGAAATATGATGAAACAACAATGTGATGTCTGATGAATACATATCTTGTTGGCTGAAATCATCCAATATCCCCAAGAGTTTGTTGCCTCCACTTCGTATGCAATACGCAGATGAACCAAGAGACCATCATTCTCATAGAAGATATACAGACAGTGTTCTATAGTACATTTACAGTCAGGGACTGGCTTGTTACATCCTTACCCCATATCTTGTTCCCTGATTTCTGTCTTCCACACTCATTGACCCAAACTCATCTGTTTGCTGATAATTAGAGGATGATACAGAGAGGAAACGAAGTTCAGAGGATAAGTTGAACAAAGGAACATTCGACGGAAGGGGATATAGGTGTTACTGACGATTCGGCCGCCGCGGGCCCATTTTATCGGTTAACAGTCATTATTCTGGGTTTCTTGACGTGATTCAGGTGTTCACAAGTAATAACAAACAAGGGATGATTGAATGTTGGAATTAATTTTACGAAATGATAGAAATAAGTAATAAAGTCAAATCGAGACGTATGTTGGAAAGAATGGCATGTTCATGGACATTTGAAAACTTCAGTTATGTATGACCTTTGACACATTAATCCTTCAACATAATCAAAGGTAGATCATATGCTACAGGCATGACATGATAAAATCGTGAGACCAACTGACAGAAGATAACTCATTTCATAATCCCCTCCAATGCCATATGTATTTATATGGTCAAAGTCAGAGCATATGTTTCAGGCATGACATGAAGATGGTGTGAGACGGACTCACACACGTCTCACCTGACCACAAAGGAAAGCATGACGGTCAGGGCTACGACATATGTGTTGTAGTGCCTTACATGTGACACTATGGTTGGTTACACTAAGGTGGTTACACTAGAGAACTACAAAGAGTTATACTCCATATCCGCTTTGAAGTTGGGATCTCTACTACTAGATCTCTCGTCATCAACTAATGCATATTCTGAGTGAACATTCCTAACGATACTCTTTCGCACGGACCCCTTTTCAGGTATGTTGATGATCCATTCAGTAAAACTCCTCATGTCTCCCTCCACCATTCCCCCTCTGCTTCGTCTGGTCGGAACCTATCTGGATAGTACTCATCATATGGAAATCCTTCCGACACCAACTCACCACTGTCATTCTGGTATTCATAAGGGGGATGAGTCACATTCCCCCTCTCGGGTTCACTGAACTCACTATAGGACCACCGTTCGTCGTCTTCCTCTTCCTCCTCGACTTCCTCTAGCCATCCGTCTTCCTCATCATCTGTCTCCTCATTGTCTCCCATTGTATTGAGCTCATAAGCATTCTGTTGTGGAATAACTGAAATGTTCTCTTCATCTTTCTCATCATCGAGTGGTTGTTCATGTGACACTTGGGGTGTGACTGAGCTTTCTTTAACTTGCCTGATCCCATTCCTGATCACGCTCTTCAATGTATTCTGTTTACCTTCTGCAGTTTCCAAACTACTAAGACTTCCAAAGTCAAGACCATCCCATTGGGTTCCCTTGGCCCATGCTTGTTTGCGCTGAGCAAGATTCTCCTCAGTCCCAATTTCATAGGGAGGAATGGATTTGTACTTCCAGGCTGAAAAATATTCAGTCAATTGTTTGAATTCTGACTCCGAAAGAGGGGCAATTTGGTCAGACAGGAACGTTCGCAGACCTGCTCCTGAAGTTTCATTGGCAGTGATTGTCTGATTGACAGACTTTTGCGTGACTTTGGACGACATGCTAGCTTTGACTTACTGGCTGTAGGCTGATGTGATAATGGTGTGAAGGACGTATAATGAGTTGTGAATAGGAGACAAGTTGGGATGGTGGGGAGGTGAGGGCAATTATAGCAATCAGTCCTGTCTTGACGTCTGTGATGGAATGTGAACTCCAAACGCCATCACGCATGAGCTACAAGGGAGCAATCAGATAAGGAGTACAATGGATGATGATTTATACCCAAGGAGTGTGAGAGGTAAGGGTTAGAGATTTAAGATCAGCCAGGTGATATCGTGATGTTGCAACATGATGCCAGTTGAATATGACGTCTTGGACATAAGATGTGGACATCAGAAAGAGTGATAAGACGGAATATTCCCAAAATTTCATGTTCTCCACTTCTTGTGCCATAAACAAGTTATCTAGGCAAATGATTCAGGATACAATCATTCTCATAGAACATGTACAGTACATACAGTATTTGCTATACATACATAAGTGAAAACTGGGTTGTTGCATTCATCCTTGCACCATCTCAAGTCTTATCATCTTCATCCTCCTCAGTCATTGACCCGTCTCCATCTGTTATTGAAGCCAACAGCTCACTCCAGATCTCCTGATGGGCGATCTCAATCTTCTCCTCCAGGTCGTCCACATCACCTAATACTTCCCCCGCCTCTCTGATCTGTTTTTTTGGCAGTGAAGATGGCCCAATCAATAGTTTTGTAAATATCTAGTTCACTTCTTTCCGGGCAATCGTTCACCTGTGGGATTGACCAACGTACTTGGGAGATCCATGATGAACGTCCTTTTGTCTCCTCGAGCTCGTCGGGTTCATAAATAGGGAAAGAATTTCCTCTGAAGAAGCGTAGAAAATCAGCAGTGAGTCTAAATTCTAGACGGGATAAAGATTCCACTCTATCTGAGAGATAAGAGCGTACCGAGTCGGTTGATTCTTCTTCCGTGTGAAAAATGGGAGTTTCATCGCTCTTCCGATCACTAAGACAATCGGACGGTATGGTCGTAGAGTCGGAGAATTCAATCATGAGGAATTTTCTTTCTGATAGATAGTGAATGACGCCCGGACCATAGAGTATGTCTACTCACAGGAGGATGAAAAGGTGGATAGATCAACTTCTAATAGGCAAGTTATGAAACTTCGGGCGCACAGGTCATCAAAGGTGAACCACTTTTCAAGGGGTCAAATCAGCGTATCACCAGTAAGGAGAGATCAAAGGATCATATCACACTGATTGCATAAGAATCTGAGACATGTGTTGAGTCTTGAGAGCGGAGTGATATGTGCTGGTACATTCTTGAAATACTTGAAGGTATGACAGCTGTCCAAGGAATGATCCGTGCGCCGAAGATTTATATGAACTCTTGTTGCAGGTATGGTACATTAGTACCGGTAGCATCGACCCCTGTAGCTCAAAAAGTCTTCAGATCGTACTGGTAGCTTACAAGTACGCGATCGAACCAGATCCTACAGAACGTACTTCTGACTCACTATAAACAGTTGCAAATGACATTTTCATAGGTGACCCCTTACAACCTCCGGATTGATTGATTTTCCTATTTTGTGTTGCCTCACAAATTGCATGTCTGATCCTCGTATACCTATGATGATATCGTACGTGTGAAATGTGGCCAGTTCCCATCCTCTCGTCTGCTTTGACGTCCGTACAGAGGGTGTCAAAAGTTTTGGGACAGCCGGTCCGTCCCGGGTAATGACAGGGACAACTTATACTAATCAAAACCCATTGCGTAGAATATCAATCAACGCTGGCCTGTCCGAAAACTTGTGACACCCCCTGCACGTAGCAGAACGAGAATCATAGGCCGAGTCCCACTGATCATACTTGCCGTCCGTGGGCGCAACATGGTCCATCAGATCTTCCTACTCTATCTCACTCTTACAATCATGCCATTCATCCTCTTCCTCTTCTCTCTCCTCTTCTTGGTGCTCTAAGGCGTCACTATTGCAGCGGGCTGTATAAGCGTCCTCTGCTTCGGCTTGAGACTTGTAACCATCGCCAGGACTCCTAGTGTAGTGATGCACAAACCTTCTAGCTTGTTTCACTGTTGTATTCACCTGCTCAATGATTTCTTCCTTTTTGTCCTCCTCCGTCTCCCAGAAATAGACCTCACCATAGTCTAAGCCCCTCCACCTTGTCTGTGAGACCCATTTGCTTTTTCGTTGAGGAAGAGTTTCAAGTGTACCTTTGGTGTATGGAGGAACACTGTGACGTATTATTTCTCCCAATTGATTGAGAGACTCAGCAACAAATTTGAATTCTAATTCTGATAGACCAGATACTGCCTCCAACAAGTGATCGCGAATGGTGTCACCTTCGTTGACCACGGATTCCTCTTCCTGCTTGCCAGTGTAGGATGCAGAATCCTGGTATGAATATTGGCTACTATCATCCTGAGGGTGAGAAGGCATTGTTCTGTGATTAGATGATGAATTGATAAAATAGCGGGGGAAAAGGAGTAAGTTCTTGTAACTGAGTCAATTGTCGATTTCAGATGCTTACCACGATGGTAATAAGAGGCGATGAGTGACAAGAAGCCTCAGCAGACTGATATATCTGTAGCATCATTGACCAGAGACATGGAGTACTCAGTCAAAACCAATAGTCTTCAAAGGAAGACGCTCACGACAACATGTGTCAGGTGAGAAATCTTGAAAGGACCACCCATTGATTGCGCCATTACTGCTAAGCGCAGCGCTGATAATGTCAGATGCCTTCCCGTTCAAATGTCGATTTACTCCGCAAACACGATAAGTAGAGACAAGGTGAGAGGGAGAGGGCAAGTACTGTATGTCCGGAGCTGATCACTTCCAAGATACTGTACCGTGGCATCAATCGAAGGAAAAGGGAACTTGTAGGACCATCAGTTTTCAGCGGTCAAATTCAGGATTCCTCCCTTGACCATCTAAATAGGCTCCTCTCACTAAATGCGTGATTCCTTATCCCTCGTGTTCATCTCCTCATGGGTGTTGTTTCGCTTGATGACGCAAGCAATCTACTGAACGTAAAGTAGTAGACGATATACGCTATATGTAAGCCCATAACTCCTCATCAAGTTCCCTGTTCGACTCACCTCATCTCAGCGCTAAGCGTTCCCCGTATTCGTGTCGAATACTGTCCCATCAAGTCGGAACGAAACAGTATGGGCCGAACCAATGGGTTCCTGGCTCGGAGCCTGTATGGTGGAAAAGAAAGTCACACCGTCATATTCGTTACCGACCGGAACACCGGTACGGTGACCTGTGAATGGTTCTCTGGATGGAGGGTCCGAGTACGACTCAGCTTCTGACGGATATTCACAATCGAACACCGAGTCGGGTCGATGAGTCGATTGGACATCGTATTGAGTGTCGATCTCTGAAATATGACCAACTTCGTACATGTCGGACTGGATGTCAAAGTTCGATTCAGAGTTGTTGAATGAAGACATGAGAGATAGTTGTTGACTTTGTTGTTGTTGGTGTGTATGAGGCAAGTTGTAAATGTTGATAATTAGATGTGTTGAAGAGGGAGTGAGCAATGAGGATCTATATATATACTTTTTTCGTTCCGCGGAATGATAGTCTCTGAGACGCAGAAATCAAAGGATATACGATAGAAGAATGGTATGAGCGGATAGTATTACATGTGTTCAAAACAAAGGATCAGATGGCCCAGAAGATGCTAGCCCTTTTGAGATAATTCTACTTAGCCATGATCACGCAAGATCTCACCCAAAACCGTTGTGGTCGGAGTTTGAGACATGTGACATGTGACAGGAAACCCAGGGGAAATGTTTGATAGTCAAGCACCAGATCATTCTGGCTATTTTGGCAGGATGTGGGAAAAAGGCAGTTCCTGGATCATACTCGTCAGTGCCATGAGTCCTATGGGTTGATTGTGTTCAGTGAATGGATAACATCTTCATTGTGTGAAACAGGGAAACACATACAGTAGCCAATACCCGACAATTCACTTCTAGTTCGACCTCGATTGTCCAGATAACACAATTATGAATACCATTCCCCTGCTCCTGTCTCCGCCAAACGTTCTCTTTCCCTTGAACGTTCGGCAGCTTTGGCAAACCCTGGAAATCGTCCTCGTCCACCCGCATCACTACCCATCATCCCTTTGAGGAAACTTCGCTTGCGGTTCATCAGAGGACTGGGAGTTCCGGGACTTCCACTTCCTTCCATTCCCCCCACACCGACTCCGTTCATTCCGCTCATCCCTGGTTGTGGAGCCATGCCATTCCACCCTCCCATTGGAGCCGTCATGCCTGACCCTCCCATCCCATTCATTGCTGTCATACCTCCCATATTGCCCATCCCATTTGGTCCCACCATCCCTCCTGGTCCACCCATTCCTGGCATGCCTGGCATTGGCATACCACCCGGTCCTGGCGGTTGAGAAGGTGATGGAGAGGCATATGACGATCTCGATGCTTTGGAATACCACCTCCTTCTCCCTTGGTATCCTGGAGCGGCAGGCGCCGAGGTTGACAATCTCTGTTGTGGTTGCCCACTAGTCGGAAGAACTCCTTGGTTCATGAGAGCTTCTTGGGTAGCTGAAGGTTGTTGTCTGGCCCATTCGTCATACATCTTCCCATCTTGATACCCTTTAGACATCCTTCGAGGCCCCATCGGCATGACCTCCATAGATGCCGCTCTCCCATGTCCCATATTATTCGGGGGACCAGGATTTTGCGCTTGGCCGTTGCCGACCGGCAATGAGGTTTGGCGTACTTGGTGACTGGGACCGGCGGCGACCTCGTGATAGCCGGGCAAATCTTGCATACCTTTTGAACCTTCATTGGTCGGATGAGGATGGTTTTGGGGTACCGACTGGGAAGGCTGTGGGTGTTGTACAGGTGGTGATTGAGTCTGAGGAAGTGGTACATGAGGCGAATAAAATCCATTAGTTTGATGTTGAACAGTTTGTGGCATCTGACTCTGAGGACCTTGTTGAGAATGCTGGGTGTGGATGGGCTGTTGATACATTGGAGGAGCTTGATAACCCCCTAGACCCATGGGACGACCATACCCTAACCCAAGTGTCGGCGGTGGACCATAAGGCGTAAGACCCATTGGTCCGTATGGAATGGGACCTGTTGGAACGGGAGCATAGCCAGGTTGGAAAGGAATAGGAACGGGACCTCCTCCGATGAAGGGTGGCGGAAGCGTGGCAGCACGGACTATTGCGTTCATTTGAGCTCGTTCTTGTCGTCGAATGGAACGGTACCATATCGATTGGAAAGAATTACGGTTACGACCGTAACATAGCAAGAAAAGGATGAGAAGAGCACCAAGGAGACAACCGATCAGGATACCGGCCAGCTTCTTGTTGGCATGTCCAGGGGGTTTGGCAGTCACGTTGAAATTATTGACCGAGTTCGGTTTCCCAGCAAGGCCAACGTGTCTTTCGTCTGTGGTATAGTACAATGCGCTAGACATCAGTATTGCATGCGAGTTCTGATCTCCGACAACTTAATGAAGAGCCATGATTGGTGATCCCAAAACAAGTAATGGTCGGTGAGGACAGGCGATGACTCTTGACAAGACAAGGACTCACGCATACACTCCAGACATGAAAGGAGTGCCTAATCTGACTTCACCCAGTTGTTCTGCCAGACTTCCATTCCGCCAAGCAACGATCCCTGCCCAACAACTCGTACCTCCCAGCGTACGGGGTTTTACCAGTTCACTCGCTGCCACTTTATACTCATGTTGATCGATAGTGACCGTCATGGAGATATTCGTATTGCACGGCATAATCCATCGTGTTGGATCGTCCGGATCTCTCCTTGCTCCAGGTACACCAGACATGAGTTTGGAAGCGTCGGCATCCGGGACGTAAATTCCGTCAAAGCCAGGATCGATGGTGGCCTGTTCTTGTCAGATGATTCCTCTAAATTGAGAGAAGATTTACATAAAGAGATGAGTTGTCCACAACGTTGGACCCTACACGTATTTGGCCAATGTCAAAAGCCCACCCGCCGCCGAGACCGTTCTTTACGTCCAACCAGTTACTGGATGTCAGCCTTCAATAGTAGATGCTAAAAAGCCACCTACAAATCACCGACATAGTGACCACTAGGAGCCCCACCCCAATGCACAGCGCCAGCTTGGACAGAAAGATCCGTTGAGTAGTTGGCGATATCCAAACCAACAGTGAAGCTTTGGATGGTAGCTGGGGTTCCGTCTCCGTTGGTCGCGAGCATGGCTGGGATGATAGAGTACGAGGGTTTGGTCTGTGCTTCAGTATGGTTGGCTGTTGGGATGAGCCGGTAGGGAAAGACATACGTTGTAGATACCTAAGCCCCAGAAGCCGGATACACCCTGATCAAGAGACTCGGCGGTGCTCCTGGTCTGATTGGTAGCCATGCTCGTCACAGTGTTGATCACCGCCACTACACGATCTTGATCGGTACCCCGTTCATCTGAGAGATCCTCCTCCGAGAGCAATCCGGACAGTTGGAGCTCGTCGGCCGGGTCAGAAGGGTAGATGGCGGTATATGATAGTGCCTGTGCGGAGCTCTGCGAGTGTCAGAGCAGCCCACGTTGGATTCCACTTACAGTGAAAGAGCCTGAACTGGCAGAATTATACCTGCAAGGTGAGCTTTCCATGTCCTGTCGGACCGAACAGCTGCTGACCTATCACTATCTCTCACACAGCTCACACACGTTGTCCCAGCCACCATGAGAAATTCGACATTCGTAGCTGTACATGAGCTGCAGTCTCGAGACGGTCTGTCCTACTGACATAATGTGAGGTTGAAGTCTTGAGCGGGTGTACCGATACCCAATGCGAGAGCATTGGTGCCTCCCTCTGTCCTATATATGGGCAGGAGGGTGTACTCTGTACCGAGCCTCGATTGATCTAACGCTTGGTCGGCGATAGCGGATGAGTAGAGCAGTGCAGATACGAGCAGTCCGAAGAAGAGAGTCATGATGGAGTGGAGAAGGATCTGGTCGAGGAGGGGGGAGAGGAGATCAGAACATGAAGAAGGGTAATTTAGAAATGACAGATCCGATGATATGAGCTCTGGTGGTCAGCTTCTCTGTCATAGACCAGCTTCCGCCAAGTTAAGGGAGGACAAGAAAGGTACCAACTTTACTTCAAGACAGCCGGTTGCGTCGGCGTCCTGTCATGAATGGCTACTCGAGCTGAAGCTCCGCTACTCAACAGTCCTCAAGGCTTGAAAGGGGTTGACCACGAGGAGTGAAGGTGTACCTTTGACCACTGAATCCGGCAGCGAAGCCAGCGTCAAAGGCGGAAAGCAAAGCCGTCAGTCAGACGGTAAACTCTGACGGTGATCGACTGGTATGGGATAGGAGATCTGGTCAGTAATGTCTGAGACAGAAAAGATGAGAGAGAAGCATGACGAATGGGTTGTTTGCAACGTTGAATGATGTGTGGTTGATGCCATCAGCCAATCGTACCAGCCAAAGGACCGTTCCGCAAGGCACATTCCATCAGGGAGAACGGTCAGTTACATGACTACGTGCAGTCAGGACAAATGAACAACATGGCATTGAAAGTAGGATATACAAGATCTCACCTATATACTTGATACAGGTACCAGACCTGAATCACTTCAATGACTTACATGATTCGGTGGCGGACGATTGGGCGGAGGAGGTGGGTTGTGAAATCCTCCGTATACCCCGGGCGGTTGAGGATCGGGTCCAGTGCCCTGCTTCATCTGCCACTCTGAACACCGTCAGCTTCTGTCCTAGTGAAACACATGCGATTCCATGATAGAGTGCTACAGAGGAGTCATGATCAACGGACCGGCGCTGGATTGACCAACATCGTATCTGGACAAAGGGAGAGGCAAAGGGGGAATTGAGCTGCTGCACTCACGACATATACCACAAATCCATATTCGACTCTTGGTGAATGGTAAGAGAGGTATCCAGAAAAACTCAAACCAAGTCCGAGAACTGGCTCCTACTACCGACGCTGAATGGCATAAGCAGGAGTTCCCGCAATGATCTCGAGAGTAAACTGAGGAGCTGACATACCATTATGGCATCTGGGACAGAGACGACCGGCCTCTGGAGCATCTTGGGATACCTTCTTCATCAGTCCAATTCTAATCCTTCTATTCTGGACTCACTTTAGTGGGAAACCCGACTGTTCTATCAGCGCAGTCATCACAAGGTTGTTTCATGTCTCGTGCGCAGAAAAGGAATCGTGAGGTGTGAGTGTTTGAGCAAAAGGTCACGGATTGAAGGAAGGAGACGAGCTTACTCACAAATCAGGGGGATACACACTATTTATAGTCAGCCAGCGCTCTAGACCATCCATACATCCACAGTACAGCCGCTGAGCGACTAGGGGAGGAGACAGACGTACAGGCCATAGAGGAGAATCTGAGGAGCTGCGAAGACTGTCGGCGCAGGTCTTATGAGGTGCAATGTCTGTAGTGGGATCGATACTAGGGTGCTGGGGTAAGATCAAGGGTAGATTGGGTGACGAAGGGAGTCAATATGGTAACTTTGCAGAGTAGTATAGGGTGGTATGAAGGACAAGAGATGCTGTGTCTCGCTCGCAGCTTGGCGTTGCGTCATGGCTCAAAGGTCAACATGTGCCACAACCGGCCTCGCACGGTAATCCCGACAGGTGACCAAACTCCGAGCTCCTCCCAGGTCTCTCCTCCCCTCCTCTTCTTGGTGTTGAAAGACAGCTAGTCAGCATTGACACAAATCCCTTAGTAGCTCGTAGAGCAGTGTAAAAGGTTGGTCCTCCTCATCTCTCTCTAATCATCACCAGCTCGCAATATATCTTATGGAGACAACGCTGACCTAGGCTCCTTTATCTGCCCTCCCCATCTCGTTTATTCTACTCTATCCTTACTATATCGCATCCAATCTCGCTTTGTACCCACAGCCAAAAGCCCTGCACAGCAGGCAAGATCATCATGTCGGTGATCTCTCGTAACCCTTTCGCCTTCCTCGAGGGTGAGTGTCAACATTCCATACCTACGCGTCGATGGCTAATATGGCTCAGACGAGGGAGATGACTCTCCTGCCCCCGCCCCCGCCCCAAAGCCTGTAGCCAAGAAACCCGCCGAACCTGCCCCCGCTCCTCGTAATGTACCAGGCGCAGTATCACGAGGGGGTCGTGGTCGTGGTACTTATCCTGCCCGTGGTTCCCCTCGAAATGGCGCCAGGGATAGCCAGCCGAGGAACACCGCGCCCACGGCTGATGAAGGTGTGACAGAGGGGTTTGAGACCCCTGCCGGATTCGAAGGCGAACGCGTCGGTGCGTCGATACTCTGTCATTCCAAACTGTATTGATGTAACTTACACTCAGCTACTCATAGGAGACCTTACCAAGGACTCGACGCACATACCAAAGGTCCCCGTGGAAACCGATCCTCGCGCGGCGTGACGTCGGGTGGTCATACCGCTCGTCTGGATAACGTCGGTAGTAGGAGGCCCAGAGTGGTCCAAGATGCTGCCGGGAGGAGACAATATGAGAGGCGGAGTGGAACCGTTGGCGATTCGCAAAAGAAGGTAGATCAAGGATGGGGTGCTGCTACTGGTACCGCCGAGCTTACCGGTATGTCCTATCTCCCTGCTTTTCTACCATGACCTAGGATCTGGGATTATAGCTTCATCGGCTGACGGACAGACGAAGTACAAGGAGAAAAGGACGCTCAAGTCGAGGAGAACGCCCCACAGACACCGGCGGAAGAGGACGATGGCGGCTGGGGTGCACCTGCAACGACTCCCGCCGTTCGCGAAGCCGATGCCGAAGCCGCTGAGCCTGCTGAGCCTGAAGAGCCCGAAGAAGTGGTTAAGTCGTACGATCAATTTTTGGCCGAACGCGCCGCTCAAGCCTTCGACTTTGGCAAGAAAGAAGCCAGGCAGGTCGGTACTCAGTCACTCGAGGGCAAGGCTTTTGTACGCGAGGCTTTGGATGAGTTCTTCAATGGAAAGGTAAGCTTGCCGCTGCTGTCTGGTATTCCGTGACTGACAAGACAGGAGAAATCTGGCAGCAAGCCTTCTAAGTCTAAGAAAGAAAAGGAAAAGGTTTTCATCGAAGTCGACGGACAATTCGCGTCTCCCGCATCCTTCAACGGTGGCGGTGGTGGGCGTGGGCGTGGTGGAGATCGTGGCCGAGGTGGACGTGGTGGACGTGGAGGTGGAAGGGGCGGCGAGCGTGGTGGACGAGGCAGGGGTGGGAGCGGCTTCAGCTCTCGTGGTGGACGTCAAGGCAACATTGATGCCAACGACACGAGCGCCTTCCCAGCTCTTGGAGGACCATAGTCGATCTTTCTCAAACCACTCATGCTAGTCGGAAAAAGACGGAAACCTGTTTCAGCATCAGGTGTACTGTTCATATACGTGATCTCATGGTGCATCCTCGTTGTGCATTTGACGTTTCTCGCACCATGGCAGCATAGAGTGCCACCTTAGTTGAGCCCCCCACGTACACTGTCCCCCTTTCCCCCTTTCCCCCTTTGCCCCCCTCCACTGTTCCCGTATCTCACCAAGCGTCACTCTCACCTTTGTGCTACGACTATCTCCTCTCTTTCTTCTCTTTCGTCATCTCTTACCGCTGTATCATCTTTCAATCTGGCATAATCATCACATAAGATACATTGTGTCCTCACAGCATTCCGACTTTGCACCGAAGCTACAGTTCATAAATCCAGAGTGTCATCGACGGTGACGCGGGTCCGCCGCTCGGGTAAAGAGTCCACCAGTATCCCTCTCCCCACTTGTCCCTAGGTATCAACACAATCATGGCAGACGAAACACCTATGAAGGCCGTACAGGTCAAACTGGTACTTCTTGGTAAGTTTATTCTATCTCTCTCACTTTAACCTTTGTAAATCACTTTTCTCCACGTCGCCACTGACGTATGACTCTTCCGCTTTCAAATCGACCCTACCATCTCCTTCCAAGCTCTTTCGCGATAATCCCTCGACGGCGATATTGGACTTCATACCTTGGCGGGTCAGGGAGACCAGCGGCAGTATGAGGTCTCACTGAGGATGAATTAGATAGACTTGGGGGGAACTAACTCTATAGGTGAAGCAGCGGTAGGGAAATCATCCCTCGTCCTTCGATTCGTACAGAATGACTTCAACGAGAATACGAGTCCGACTATCGGTGCTGCTTTTCTCACTCAGCGTGAGTGATGGTTTCTCTTTCAATACCTTGGACCTAATGTTCTTTCATTCGTGAAAACCTCAAATTCAAGCTTTCATCGCTACTCGGGTGGTCAATCTTTCTAAGGGGCTGCAAGTTGCGTGGAGGCGGTTTGGTCACTGATAGAGTATTTGACATTTGGAGTCAATCGCTAACTCTCAGGATGCAGACTTGAAAATCGGATCGTCAAATTTGAGATATGGGATACTGCGGGACAAGAAAGGGTGAGTCTCAAGTGTTTTTCACTACTATCTCCATGTCGGACAACCTCAATCAATGACTGGAATGAATCTATAAATGGCGTTGTTACAATTGCTATTCACAATCCGAATACCTACAATTTTGTCGTCTTCAGGTGCTGGGAGGAGGAATATGACCTCCATCATAGGTCAAGGGATGACGGCTAATACCAGTTTCATTCTCTCGCCCCTATGTACTATCGAAATGCTGCTGCTGCCGTGGTAGTGTATGACATTACGAAATCTGTAAGTTCCCTCAACCATGCTCAGTTTCATGAAGAGACTGACAATCCAGGCATCTTTAGAAAAGGCCAAAGCATGGGTTAAAGAATTGCAAAGACAAGCCAACCCAAATATCATCATTGCTCTCGTTGGTAACAAAGTGAGTCTCCGAAGGATCTAATAGAACACGCATTGACAATCAGCTCGACTTGGTTTCCGATACTCCATCTGAACCTCCCACCGATGGTCTTGAGGTAGAGCGGGATGAAGAAGACGAAGAAACCACACCTAAACCTGCTGAAAAAACCGAAGAGGGTGACTCGAGACAAGTGTCCATTGCAGAAGCTGAAACGTATGCCAAGGAATGTGGATTGTTGTTCTTTGAAGCCAGCGCGAAAGTCGGTACGAATGTGAATGAGGTGTTTACAGAGATAGGTCAGTAGTTTACCTCATCTGTCTGTTCCATTCCACCACTCCTTGCATACTTCACATGTCTTGCGAGACACCTGTCTGGCAACGTACTTCCGCTCTACGAGATAACATCACTCTTACGAATTTCTCTTTGAGAAAGGACTGAAAATTGACCTTCAGCCAAGGCGATCCCTCTCGACACCATCTCACCTAAACCCGCTGCCGCAGCTCAAGGAGCTAGGAAACCAGCTACTCAAGCGGAGGGTGGGGTCAACCTCGGCGAACAGCAGGCGAAGAAGGGTGGATGTTGTTAGGCTTTATCATCCGCAGGGGTTCAGTGATGAAAGTAGGAGATGGGCACATGGTGGGGACAGTGTTCCAAGTGGGCCGTGAGGGAGAGGATCAATCGAGGGATGAGTTGGACAGAGTTTAGAAGGTTCAAGATAGTGACGTAGTGACGATTGCCTGCGTAAGACGTTTGTGAGATTTTACAAGAACGTTTCTGTATGATTTTTTTCAATTTAATTTCGAAATGTTAACTGATTGATCTTATTCTTGTCTTTGTCATTCAAGAACATTCCGCTTCACTTGATCTCTTGCTGAGTTTCAATTCTGTCCCTCCTGAGGATCATGATCTGTTGATCGATGCAAAGACGCAGTAGACCAACAGATTGTGTTACACGCCCATATTGCATCATCTACTATATTTGTATTGCTTCTAACCCGGACATCAGATCCACCGAGTGAAAGGTGAATCAATCATCATACCCCATCTCTGCTAAAACTTCCATTTCCTCATCATCTTCAACCATAATAGGTTCTATTATCGTCCCACTTTTCACCCCCTTATACTCCTTCTCATCTGATCCCCAAACATCTTTCACTTCTTTACCTTTTCTATTCCTACTCTCCTCCCAAATATCACCTTTCTTCATACTATCTAATCCACCCCCACTTCCAATCCCATCCCCATTCCTTCTCATACTATCCTTTTCATACTCTATCCCTCGTTCATCATCCAAATCATCCAACAAAACCCCTCGATGATCTAATTGAGAAGAAGGTAAAGAAGGTGAACGATCTCGATTCGATTCTGGTTCAACAGTATAAAGTTCGTATATCGCATCACCTTCCGGTCCTTCTACGACTGATTCGAGTAAGTCTTGACTTAAATCTGATGATCAGTGCCTTAAACTCTTTTATGTCTCCCTGAAAAGTAGAATCATCTGCATGAACACATCACATCAACTTTTTCAAGAAGAAAGAAATCTAAAATTTACATGACTTTCTCTTCTTCTTCAAGTTGGAGTTGAGAATGAATAAATCATCTCCCTAATTCTTAGACACGACCTTACCCTCAGAAAGGGAATGCACACATTCCAGGATGAAACGACTGTTTATTAAAGGAACAATGGAGAAATGGATGAATTAAAAAAGTTAAACTTACATTGTATTTCTCTCAAAATATCTTCAGATTCATCAATATCCGTCTCACCATAAGCCATCATACCTAATGCACTGACGAAAACATGTTGTAACCCATTGAATTCTTTCGTCCCACTTAAGAATTGTAGTCGGTGAGGTAAGTTCACACCTTGTTTTTGAAAGTCCCCAGAGGCGTTTGGAGGAAGTTGAGAGAGACGGCTTTGAGTTGGGAATTGAGATTGTTGTTGAGATTGCCATGAATGACGTTTGGAGAGTTGAGATGGAGTGCGTGGGAGGAGTGGAAGTGGGTAAATTAAATGATGGAACAGGGTGAGAGTGGGTAAGATGAGGTTGATAGAACTGAATTTAGTCAGTCAGGATCTACACAACATTCTTATGTCAGAATGAACATGGCTGCACAGCTGAAGATGGGGAAGATGGGTAGATGGATGGGGAACAACCTCTCGGGACTGATGATATCTTTGGATTTATGGTAAATTCCTACCATGAGGAAACTTAAAATTCCGAAGACGCGTGACGAATGTGATAGGTACGACATCTCTCAAGTCGAATCATCAAAGTCATAAGAGTCATCTCAGATAAGAATGTGTAAAAAAGGCGATGATGATGTGAGAGAAGAGTGGGAAGAGAGTAAACCCACTCTATCACTCCACCACCCATCGTGACACCCCAAACTTTCCCTCCTTCCTTACCTAAAACCAAAATCAGAGCAGCTATCAAAATCGTTTTCTCCGCTAACAACACCACAGCATCGGGATCAGCTATAGCCATCATTGTTAAACCCCTTATGACCTTCACACTCCATTTTGAAGCTTCATCGGGGTTTTCGAGAGTCGGAGAGATGAGCCATCGGGATAAACGATCGATAAGGGGTTGAAGATCTGGTTTATGTTTTGTCGAAGTAGCGATGAGGGGACGGAGATTGTCTTTATCTAATTTGTTAGTCGATTGGATCAGATATATCCATGTGGGGTTGGACCTGCGCAGGCCTATGAAGTAAAAAGTGATGACAGTTATCTCGCCTCATGGTTTGACAGATTGAAGTCATCATTGGATTAGAGGCAGATCAGATAGACGAGTAGCATTGCTCGTGGGATATGTGTATTTAGGAGTGGGAGCGTGGGGAGGGGGGTTGATGTAACGATTGAGACGACTCACGGAGAGATGTCAAATAAAATAAATCCAATGCCATCACATGAATCTGAGTATCCAAATGTCGACTTAAAAGATCAAGGATGACATCTACTAAATCTGCTCCTGACCTATTTGTCAACCCCTTCCTAGTCACATTCGTTTGGTGTGAGGAATAGGACATACCAAACACCTCGATAATCTGGCCAACAACTCATAGCCATCCCTACATTGACCAAACCCTGAGCCAATTCTATCTCCCATATTCCTATCGTATCTTCCAATGCTTCCCAACGTCCGAGTTTCTCCGATTCTGCACGTTCTGAAGTCAGACGAGAATTGATATTTTGACATTGTGATGTATCGCCCAGATAACCGGATATTCTGGAGAGGATGGAAGAGATGGTGATGCCATTGGGAGTGGGGGAGAATGTTGAGAAATGGGGAAACAGGAATGCTGTGGAGGAAAGGAGATTGAGTATGTTGATCAAGACACAGATCTGTCAAATCAGCTTGACGGCCTCTTGCAGTATAATTTTCCTGTGAATGATATTTCTACCTTCAAACAGACTTGATAAAGTGGGAGATGTAAAGAACGTACCTCTTCAATCCCACTCCCCTCTTGGATGATCAAAGTAGACGCCAAGTCGGCCAGTTCTAACAAACACGATCCAACAGATCCACAAAGTACGTCGAATGGCATACTTCCATCCCCACAAACGGTCAGAAGTGCTGAACATTGAGCGTTCCAGAAGTCTTCCGTGGTAGATGGGTGTTTATGACGATAGTTCAAAATCCGGAATATAGTAGGTTCTCGAGTATAATGCATTTCAAATTGAATCGTGGATAGTGGGATATGACTGAAGAGATGATGTATCAACTGTTAGTCAGTCACACTGTGTCCCTTTGACAACTCCTCAGAGTATTCTCCCTCCGACGAATTCAAGCTGGGAATCCGCGGGTTAGACTCTTGAGGTACGATGACAACACTTACTTCTGCTCGAAGCTCAATGGGATCCTCGACAATGGGAAACTCTCCCGTTTCAACTTCAACTTCTTCAGGTGGTAACGCCTCCGGTGGGTCTAGTTCCATACCATCATCTGCCTGTTGAGGAAGGGAAGATCCTGGTATTTGACTTTTATTCGGGGAAAATAGCGGCGTTTGGTCTCTCGGAGCAGCGGAGAAACTGGCGGGTGGACGAGTAGGAGAAGCAGGTGGGGAGACAGTTTCATTCCGTGCACGCTTTTTACCTGTACCAAGTGATGGAGCAACGACGAATGCATTGTTGAGATGCTCGAATTTGGGCGGGGGAGGTATCATTTTTCCTTTTTGTCAGCTATGATTGTATCGCCTCTGATGGGGAATATCACCTTTCAGAGTCTTGATCAATGGGGTAACCTCTGCTAAACTTTCTCTCCTGCTCGGCGATCCTCTGAACGGAGTGGACGCTATTCTATTGGCGGTGGGCGAAAGAGGAGGCATCATAGGTCTTTGTGATGCTTGACGCATTTTAACAGCAGAATTATGTACCGCATGATTCTTGTTATCAGCGTTTGGTCATAAGATTGGATGACAAAATATCAGGAAGAGATCACTCACACTAAAGATGGCCTGCGTACGAACACTTTCTAATTGCCTAGCAGCTTCTTTTTCTCTTTCCCTTAAACGACCTTCCATCTCAGCCACTTGGGCTTTGAGTCTTTCCGCCTCTGCGAGATGTTTAGCATGTTCCTATATCATCAGCATTCTCTCCCATTGAGTTTCAATGGGGTAGTCTATCTGGGGAGACTCACATCTCTTTGAGCTCTTCGAACGCTCTCCGCTTCTCCCTTGGCTCTCCATAATTCCGCTTGAAGTTCTTTCATCCTTTTCTCAGCATCTTTAGAACTCTCCGCCACGGGTTCTTCCACCCTAGATGCGAGTTGACTTTTCTCCCCTGTTTTGCGTAAGAGACGAATTTCTTGCTCTAATTTCTCCCGTTTTCGTCGTTCTTCCTCCAATTCTAACGCTGTCCTTCGAGTAAGAGCTCCCGATTGTGATCCACCAGGCATTTGTGAACTCGATCCTTGAGATGACTGCGAGGGTATAGGTGCTAGTGTTCTAGTCGGGTGCAATGAATTATGATTTTGATATAAAGTACGATTGGAAACTTGAGCACCCATTGACACCGAGCGAGAGAAAGATCTATTATTGTTGAATTTCGGTAAAGGTTGAACCGTATCATTATCATTCCTTCCTTCCACTGGGGCGACAGAGGGTATTCGAGGAGGCACAGAGATTTCCTCTGATTGAGCTCGATATCCTTGACTGTTCTGACTAGCAAGAGTGATAGCTGCTCTTCTAGCTGCTGAACCTTTGATCCCTCCCTTCTCTTTCCTCACCTCTGTCAAACTCTCCATGACAGGTCTAGCATGACTATCCATAACTTCAGCTTCTTCTCCATATCCTTGTCCTAATCCATATTGTCCTTGAGCGTTCACAGTGATATCAGGATAACTTTCTTCTTCTTTCCCATTCCAATAAACTTGTCTGTCCTTAACAGCTTGAACATGTCGTTCAACATTCCCATCTATACTTCTCTTCCCACCAAATTCCCATCCGAAACCGGTATTACCCGCCCGTGGTTCAGTGTTGAGGGGTCTAGGAGTTGGTCCACCAGTCTTAGCGGGGTTAGAAGGTCGGATTGGAGCTGCAGGAGAGTTACGGGGGACAGCTACTGTGTGGTGATATCGTTCGGTATGACGTTTAGGAGCTTGACTGGATTGGACGGCGATAGCTTGAGCTTCGATAGCTTCAAGAGCGGAAGTGTCGAGGTCATCGAAGAGATCATCATCGAACGGGTCGGAGGACATGTCGTTGAGATATCACCGGATGATATGACGCCTTGGACATCCGTTTAGAGTACAATGGTCACCTCTATGACATGGTTTTGGAGACAGATGGAGAGAGATTCCATCCATCCTCACAACTTTCTGTGGTTGACGCGCTTCCGAGCTGGGTCACGTGATCTCACCGTCAGAGTCAGATTTGATTCCGTCACTTCTGCCGGGATGACGTTTCCCTCGGGCATGACCGAGTACGATCACTAGTGGTCAAAAATTGGCTCGCTGCGTATCAGATAGCACTTTTCACACATTCACCCACCTTTCCACTGCTTGTGACTCGACTGACTACTTGACATACTTGTAACATCTTTCAGATCATCGGGACATGTTCACAAAGCTCACTTCGGCAATATCCTCATTCACTTCCAATGGCCCACTACCATCAGATCACCATGATCCCTCTCGTGCTCAAAGCTACGTGAAACTCGCCGAGGTTCTTGAGCAACACAAAGTCCCGGTATCCCACACAGACTGTCTATCATGTGATCAGCCTTGTCCACCTGGCTCCTCCGACCGAGCAGGGATCGTCATCAATGGGGATGCGGATGCATGGGAGAAGAAGAGTTATGCGGAATATGTATTGGACAAGTATGGTGATTTGGGAACACTTCCACAGGGTTTCGATACGGATTGGGAGAGTGAATTAGCTGGTTCTGGTAAAGGTGGAAGAGGTAGGATTGCAGTGATCTCCACTGGTCAGAGTGATTGGGAAAGGGATCATTATGTTGGTTCATCTTTCTTTCCTACTATCCACATCTAATCACTCAAACCACTCACCGGATCAATCCTTTCATAGAGACATCCGTATCATGCTTAAACATGTGGAATGCTGATTATCAGACGGACAAAAAACTGCTGTCATATCATGTCAATAATTTGTTGAACACTCTACCTGATTTAAAACCTACCAAGAGTGATCTCACATACATCTCACCATCTGCCATGTCACCTCCTGGTCAAATCACCAAAACAAAAGTCCCAAATCCTTCCATTTATTCTTCCTCATTAATCAGCCAGTCAAACGATCCGGAAGATCAGTCGGTACTAGTCTTTCCCGATTGGAAAGTGGTGCATGAGGTGGAGAACTCGGTGGGCGGTGCAAAGGGGTTATACGAGGGTGCTCTGGATGGTTCTCTCGGGCGAGCGGGTAGGGTGTCGAAGAAGGATGCCGAAAGGCAGAGGAGTTGGGTATTACCGTATCGTGCTGTTGTGCTTCTGTGTGAGTCTTCCGCTTCGTTCCTTCTCATTCCACATGCGAGTGAATTAAACGAAGAATACCATATGGACATTTGAATCAAAGCCTTGCAGAGGATCGGAAGGAACTAAGCTGTACTCAGGCGGAGTAAGAGGATGAAGTCACTTGTCGAAGAGCTGCGAGGTGGACACACTGACACACAGGCTCGCATAAACGACGTGATAAAAAATGTCACATAGCAGCACCTTTACTGCGATCAGCCCTTCACACCGTTCTGGCGAAATATGACATATCCGTGGACGAAAGTGGTTCTTCTCTTTGCGCAATGGATGACCTCCCATTGGAAAAAGTTCAAGGTACGGAAGAAGAACGAGAAGAAGAGGTGGCTAGAAGATTGTCACGGATAGAAGGTGTACAAGGTGGAGAAGGAGGAGAAGTTGGGATATTCAATATTAACCATTTGGGTGGACATAGATACGCTGGTGTCATGTTGGTAAGTCTTCTACCAAACCTTTGTCTCGAATGATGATATGATGAGGAGCTGACATGAGATAGATCTTATTTCCTTCGGGAGCATACTTGTCGTACGGTCGGGTGACACCACAAGAGATACCAAGAGTTGTAGAGGAAACTATATTACAAGGGAAGGTTGTCCCTGGGTTATTGAGGAATGCCGTGGGTGTACAGAGAGAAGATGGGAAGAGTTTTTTGGGGTGGTGATATACAGTTTGTGTGATTACCCGTGAGGTATCTTACACAACATCTTCAATATATTTGACATGTTCGTAGCCAATAGACAAGAGCGATGTATGAGTATGTAAAAACACACTTGTACAATATCATTACAGTAGTGTCATGTACCACGTAACGGGATGTCTTGGGTAGGCTTGACAACTAGTAGGTGATTACAGTATCCACCTTAGTTTGGTGGACGACCTCCACTTTTGATCCAACGGTCACTCACTCACTCACTCACTCATTACACTTTCCTATTCCGTTATCACTCACATTCCTTTCCCTTTCTCCCTTCTCTACCCCATTTCTCCTTTTTTTGAAACTCACCTTCCACACAACATCTGATCTTTCTCCGTCAGTCCCCAAAAAAAACACTCGAAAGCTGGTCATAAACCAACTTTCCCATGCAACGGTCGCCCCCGTCATCCCCGAGTAGCAGACCCCGTAAAATGGCAAAGATGCAAGAAGCTTTAGATGTTAATGAAGCCATTACTGCTACTCAGGTCGTTCCTTCGTACGTATTCCCTGCTCCTTCTTCTTTCTTGCCCCCTAAATCATGGGTCAGCACTGCTACTGTTCGAAAGCCTCTCCCGAGGCTGAGGTGATCATACCGTATGATGACAAAGACTGATGGGAAGATATCGTCCGGATGCCAAAACGAGACGTTACGACAGACAACTCAGGTAAATCAACACCTCATTTCTGTTCTGATATGAGTCAAAGAGCTGAGAAGAAAGATTATGGGCTTCTTCCGGTCAGAAATCTTTGGAACAAGCTAGGATATTATTAGTGGGGTGCGATGCAGCGGGATGTCAGGCTTTGAAGAACCTCGTTTTACCCGGTATGCTCATCAACACTCTTCTTTTTTCTGCCATTGACTCTGTACATCTCGCCCGTAGGCTATATGCCTCGATCTAGTGAAGGAAGAATGTTGGTTTTGCGGGTGTTGCGGCGTGGATCGTATATTGATACATAGGAATATCACACTTTACTATCCTCTCTTCCAACGTGACCACTTCTCAAGACGTAGCAACTAATTTCTTTCTTCATCCAACTTCCATAGGTCGTCCGATTGCTTTTGAAGCTGTACGGTATGTCTCATCATGCCTGCACCATTGAACCCTGCTGATGGATAGTCATCTGAGAGAACTAAATCCCGCCGTGGAAGGAGAATCGAACGTCAATGTAAGTTTCAGTATCTTGATGATGTCTCGTTGCTGAGAAATTAGGATCCCACTATACTTCTCGAGACAAACCCAGAGTTCTTCCTCTCATTTACACTGATCATAACTTCCAACCTTCCCCCTTCTCTAGAATTACAAATAGCTGATCTTTTATGGTCCGGTATGTCTTTTATCTCCCCCAGAAGTCGTCTCAAGGCTGACGAGAAGCTTCGGGTCCAGTTGGAGGCCCAGATATCCCATTGATAGGGATAAGAAGTTCTGGTTTCATCGGTCGTGTTGAAATCCAACTCCGAGAACATTGTAGTGAGTCAATCTATCATTTGTCATATGAAGCTTTACGTCTTATCAAGATGCGCAAGCTGATGTATAGTTGTGGATACGCATCCTGAAACTAATCATACCTTAAGAATAGATCAACCTTTCCCCGCTTTAGAGGAATATGCAGTCAATCTCGACATAGACGGAATGGATTCCATGGATTATTCTCATATACCATGGGTTGTGTTACTTGTCCGTTTTGCAAGTCAATGGAAGAAAGATGTGCGTATTTCAAAGTGACGACGTACCGAAGCTGACAAAATAGCACGGAGGCAAGTTACCAAGCAATGATGAAGAGAAAACTGCTTTTAAACAATTGTTGAAAAGTGGGAAACGGAAAGGTGACGAAGAGAATTTTGATGAAGCATTAACACAAGTATATCGAGTTTGGAATAAATCGGATGTTCCATCTGAGATCAAAGCTTTGATGGAGGATGGTTTTATCAAGAATATCTCTGTCAATGTGAGTGAATCTTTCACCCTCACTTTTTTACGATTTACCTTCTCAATTCGTTGGAGGATAGGAGGCTGATGTTTAAAGTCAAAAAATCTACATATCCTCTTAAACACTTTATCGCAATATCTTCTCACTCCTCCTCATCTACCTCCGCTATCACCAACCTTACCAGATATGCATTCCTCCACAACCTCTTATATCGTCCTTCAGAATTTATTCAAAAGACAACATCAATCTGATCTACAACTTTTCCGCCAGACCTTGTCCTCTACACTTGAGAAGATTGGTCTACCGGAAGATGCAATACCTGACGAAGAGGTAGAAGGGTTCGTGAGAAACATCGGGGGAGTGGGAATCGTCAAAGGATCATTTTTGAGAGAAAGAAGAGAACTTAAAGGGTTGATTGTATCAATAATTGGTCAGTCCATCGATACCTCATCTTCTTGCCCTTGCTTCGAACCATTGAGAACGGCGGAGTTTTGTACTGATGAACAGAGGAAAGCTTTGCGCCAGGAGGGTATCTTAGTGTACCATGCGCTATGCACTTTGCTCTCATGGCTTGTGAAAGGTATCACTCTGTCTATGGAAAGTTCCCAGGTTCTGGGGAAGAGGATGATGTGGCAGAAGATACGAGGAAGGTGGGAGAGATAGTAGGGGAGATGGTGAGAGGAGTTGTATCATTACAGATTCTACCAGATGAGGTGATTGAGAGTATTGCGGAAATGTGAGTTTACCGTCCATCCGACACGTCTCCCCCCCCCCCCCCTTCAAAAGAAAAGCCCTCCGGAAAGTTTGATTCTCTGTGTGTTGTGTAGCCGAGAGTGCGAATTCGGAATGAGTACTCGCTTGTGGATGAACAATGGAAGTGGCGGAGAAGAATCATGTAGATGAGAGAGTTGCAGACAACCGCAAGTGGTCATGGTGCTGATGAACAGAATCAGAGGTGGGTTCGGTACTTTACCCACTACTGCTGCATTACTCGGGGGTGTAGTAGCTCAAGAAACTATAAAACTTATAACCGCTCAATATGCGCCGTTGGACAATACTGTGGTGTTTGATCTAATCAAGAGTCAGAGTGAAAAGTGGAAGTTTTGACCTAGCCTCGTGAATGTCCATTACAAGGTAGTAATGATAAGTTTGGAGTATCTAAAATGCATGAGGAGTGTATGATAGCTTTCATTTTCCGATCTATATCATGGATCATTGGATGGTGATTCAATTGATCCAATCGTAATCGACCTGCAGCATACAGCATAGACAATGCACACTTGAGTTGTGATTCGTCTCATCGACCAATCCGTGTTACTGTACAAGTAGTCGATAATCGAGAATATCTTTTGTTGCTGGTCTCTAACCAGAGATGATTGGTTAAGCTAGTAGAATGATTAAGTGGGTCAAACAACATTCAAATCGTCATTGAGACGGTCAATTTTACAAGAAAAGTATGACCTCGTCGACTGCCCAAGTCCAATTGTACGTCGGAAGCGAGATGAGAAGCGAATGAGATTTTGTCAAATCAAGACATACGGATGTCATAAGGGGAAAAGGAGAGGAAATCCGTCTTTGGTGAGTATCATCAACCACCCATCCTCTTATCGAAATTACTAAGTCATATTATATATATACGCTCTAACCAGAATCGAAATACCAAGCCAACCAAACGATCATCAATCACAGTACCACTCAACCTTCCTATCGAACTTCTTTCACACAATCAAACAATCGATCGTGTCAGTTATCAAACGACTAGTACGAGTATATCAAGAGATATTGAAGTAAAGATATCAAAGACCACATAGAGTATCAGTATCAATATCAGGTGAGTGGGTGAGTAAGGATGAACGTCACTCATATTCAGGTTCAAACATGTGTCTCGTCGGGTTCCTCTATCGTAAAGGTAAACAAGCCAGGATGAAATCTAAATACCCTGAATCGTCTCAGTATCCTCAGGGAGTACAAGGATCTCGACCAGATTCTAATCGACAAGGTGGTGTCAATATGGATAATGGCGTTATTCGTGATGTTGGTCCTGGACAGAGTAAGTAGGGACAAGTAGGCCCTAGTAGATGATTAGACCACCGTGGGAAAGTTGGAATGCATCACCTTTGTGCGATTTTGACTTGCACTGCTTCTAGCCTTCTGCTCCAATAGAATAGACTTTCTTTCGGCTTTCCGGGCTCATTGTTTCACAATCTTCTCAAAATCTCTTACACTTACTCAATCAACCATACATTATTTGCTGGAATCTCGATCGAAGGGGGTTTTAGAATTAAGGTTGGAATCTTTGTCTTCGTCTAAATTTCAAAAGGTATCTCAATCGAATGAATCCTGGATCTTCTTCTTCTGTCCCCGAACCAAAGAAAAAAAGACGTAAGTTCTTTTCTTGGTTTTTATTCAGAAGAGACGTTTGGTGATTGATGATGATGCTTATATATACAGGTCAAAACGTAGCTTGTGACGCTTGTAAACTTCGTAGAGTCAAATGTGATTTACTCTATCTTCTCACTCCACCTAGTGTGGAAGATGAGAATTTAATACCTCCTCTACATGAATTGGTCAGACAAAACCCAGATACTTGTTGTACGAACTGTAAGAATAAAGGGTTGAGATGTACCACAAACCACATTCTGAACCCTAGTAGGCCGAATAAAAGTGGGAGGAGGATAGATGAGGCAAGGGAGGTTTTTGGGGGTGGAACGGGGAGTGGGATGGATACGGGTATGGGGGATATGAAGATTATGAGTGACAGTGTTGGAGAAATGGATAATAGCGTACGAAACGTGGATGGATTGATCACTGGAATGACAGATGTGGGTGGAATGAATGAGGGAATGAGAGATTTAGGTGTTGATGAACTCGGAGTGAGTGATAACGATGGAAGAGATATGAGAATAGGAGAGATGATTGATTGGTCGGAAGGGGGTGATAATGGTGTACCTACCATCATGCTGGATAATTTCAACACATTTCATCCTCTCTCTTTTGATACGTCAAACTCTTTACAACCTCAATCATTACCTGGCCCTTCTCGTCAATCATGGATCTCTCAACCTCTCAACGACGTTTATCTGGACGAATTAGAAGGTCTCATGATGAATATAACTCAACCTACTTCCCAATCTACCTCCACTTCCTCTGAATCCCCTCCCGAAAACGTTGGACAATCTTATCTCGATCCAAACCAACTTACGAGTAATCATATTCAACATGTACCCAACTCTTTTCAATCGACAACAATACCCACGCAACATGTCTCGTCATCGACCTTTGACTCATGGCAAGATTTCCTCAAAAGTCCAAACAGTCCTTCAAATATTCCTTCCTCACAACTCGCTTCACACACTTCCGCATCATCTGCCATACCCCTCCCACCTGGTTTGGGAAGATTTAGCGTACAACGAGACCAATTTGTGAAAGATGGTGAATCTTCTCATGTTCAAATTCACCAAGAACCCGTTCGAGTCATGCCTGTTCAAGGGTCATGGTGGCGAGACGTGGATAGATATACGGAAAATACGAACACGAATCAATTGGTAGCTCGAAAACGAGGTCGATGGGAGTCAGAAACTATGGACGGTGAGATGATAGAGGATGAATGGAAGTTATGGGCAGAAGATCAAAAATCGTTAAGATGGGGAAGGAAAGAAAACGTTCAAGAAGCATTAGCAGATCGAACATTGGGACTTGCTCTCAGTAGACATCTCGTCAAGGTTTTCTTTCATTCCATTCATTTATCTCTACCAGTAAATTTTCTTTTTATTAAATCAGGTATAAATATGTTGACGAGATAGATTTTAAGTCCTGAATCGTTCTACCTACAATGGGAAAAGGCAGGACAGAGATCGGATAATATGTCTCCCGCCCAAGAGGCTTTGTGTGCTGTCATCGAAGCTTGGGCAGCGAGATATTCAGATTCTCCAGTGGTCAGTGGCAATCTGTATACAAAAACGTCAATAAACAACTGAAGTGCTAGATTCTAGGTATGGATCCTAAAAAGGCCAAAGATGCTCCTAAAGGTTTGTGAAAACATCTTTCACTCGTCGCTTTTGCTAACGTAAAGTCATAACGTCAGACGGTAGAGTCAGTAATCGAAACAAGATAACACGACCGCTCAGCTGACATCTAGTTCCTACCCGGCACACAAGCCCGGGCTCATTGGGGTCGAGCACGATTAGGAGCCTGTAACGCCCTCGCTTCAAGAGCGCGTAATCTTATCAGTTCTAACGGTCTTCTCTTCACTCCCAGTCTTACAGGTGTACAAGCAGTCACTATGTTTATTCAACTCATGAACCTTACCGATCAAAAAGATAGGGCGGAGGAACAATACATGCAGAGTTTGTCTTCTGCATTTTTGAGTGATTAGTAGCATGACTGATCGAGTAGACTCGGTACTTCAAGCCGCCGTCGTTGAACAGATGCGAGTTTTAGGGTTGATGTGGGATTCTCCCATACCTATCGTGCAGGATAAAGAAGAAATGCCCCTATCTTCCCCTCATCTCAAAATCATGCAGAGGAGAATCTTCTGGTCTCAGGTGGTAGCGGATGCTTATTGGGCTGCGGGAACTGGTCAATCGCCAAAGATGTATGTCGACCTTCATCATTTATTAACATATTTACAATCCTTATGATTCAGTCCTTGTACTTTGGCTCATATTTTGGGACCACAGGCTGATGAATTAGTGGTGATGAAGAACTTTCAGTCGCTGGTCAATGGTTAGAAGCTGTTCAAGAGGATACTTTATCTCCCACTTTCCGAATGCTCGTTGTGAGTTTCCTCATCCCATATCAGGATTGATACTGATACGTATAGTTTGGTATCCAGTGAGTTCAGGGTGAACGGGTGACATGCCTGGAAGCGAGATAGCTGATTTGGAAATAGACAGTATTATAATTGTGCCCTCATAGCTAGAAAAATGGCAAGTGCAATTACTAGTCGAAGAAAACATAAAGGTGCTATCGATGTGGTTGAATTTTGTCAAACAGTCCGCAATTGCTGGGAACAATTGGTACGTTTCTCCCATTCTTTCCCCCTCTTCTTTGGGTTTGTTCGTTTGCTTTGACGATCGCTGACATTACAGCAAGGAGTTGCTAAGGCCGTTTTGGAGTCGAAGGAATTGATGGATGCGTGTGATCAACGACTCTTAGGATTTTCTCCTGTCAACGTGAGTGTGTTCGCTTTCCAAGTCTTGCTTAACTCACCCAATGACGCCGATGACGGAGCGAACGATAGTGATGGGAAGGGGTGAAGTTGATATGATAGTCTCTTGCGAACATCCGATTATCCGTTCCTCTACTCATGCTCGTACTGCATCAACAAATACGCGAAGTCGCAGAGTTTCACGCACAACTCCGAAACCCTTTTCCGGTAGAAGAAGTGGGGAGCGCTTCCCCAGAGAATCGGAATGAAAGTTATGTGATGCTTAAAGAGTTGGAGACGCAGAGTGTTGATGTGTTGCTTCATTCATGTAGAGCTCATGTGGATATGTTCCAAGCTCTTCTTCCTACCGGTATAATCCAAAGTGAGTGAAAGTCAACTTCCCGAGCATTCCATTGAGAAACATGAAACTATGTTAGGACTACCACTGTCATACTGGCAACTAACACAGAAACCGGAACGGTTCCCCAGCCAAATCGGTCCCGCGTCGTTCCGGTTTCTATGTTAGGTACAAGTAGTGTCGTCATTCGAGGACCGGACATCTAGTGGTTGAACGAGGTTGTCAGGGGGACATGCCTTGCGCTAGACAGATAATTGACGGGCAGCTGCAAGTGTCATGTTACGAGTTTTAGTTGCCACTGGACAGTTTTTGGCAGAGGTACCGACCAACGAACAGGGTTATCCTTCGGACACACTAGGTGGATGCGGTTGGACGTGGGAGACTAAGAAGAAAGAAGTTGGATGTTGTGTGGATGCTTTATATCAGATTGGATGGGGTGAGTTGACTACCTACTCATACTTTTTCCGTCCTTCTGTCTCACCCCGTCCACACTATCCCTTCTCACTTCTCATCTTTTGTTTCCTGTATGTCTGCTGCTTTTAATCTTGCACATCACCCTCCATCTTTTTGTAGGATACGTTGTCAATAGGACTGACCCCCAGCATGGTCAGATATAGCCGAAGCTCTCGATACCATCCTCGTCTCCATGGAACGTTTACAACCTTCCCCTTCCGTCCTCTCTGCATATCACGACAACCCTCCTCCTCCTTCGGTGGAAATGGAAAAACGTCGAGCGGTGGAAACAATACAATCTCAAGGTATAATTCAATCAGCTTTACGTTATTGGCCACCTCCTTCCATTCCAAATCTTCTCGAAGCAGCTTTAAGTCAAAACTCTCATCTTGAAAATCCCGATAATCCAGATCTTTTCACTTCTTTGAAAACACATTTATCTTCCACCTCCAATAACAATAACAATTATCTAAGCTCTAGCTCTCGTTTAAATCTTGATATTCATATGAACCCCATTTCGACCAACGAACTCAACAACCCCACTGGGAAATTAGACATGACTGAAAAAGTTGGGACTTGGGTAGTTTCGAGTGGAAGTAGTATATTCGATAATAATGCCGTTCCAATTAATTACGTTTCTTCTAAATTACGTACCGATGGTAAAAGAGGAAAGGCACATGGTTTCGATAGAAGTGTTTCTGTTTCGGATCGGGGAAGAGGTTTAGGACCTGGAAATGATTCTTTTGGATCGGGAAGATATACGAATGATCTCTTGTTTGATCATCATAATTCTACAGGTGTTGGGATGGGTGAAGAAGAGGATGTTGGGGCGGCAGGTGCTTTCGCTTTTCCTTTGATGGATATTGGGGAAGTACCGGATTTGAATGATTTGGAAAGTTTGTTAAGAAGTTTGGATCAATCAATGTGATTTGTTGGAATATCAGTGTTATCGTTGAAATTAGCAATTTGATACTAGGATAATCAGTGTGTTATGCTCATCGACTTCAGTGAGGTAGGTGAGCTATTGTTCAAGGTGTCGTTGAGGATGAAAGGTGGGGATACGGTGTGTTATTGTATCCAGTATAACTGTGATAGAAATTCTTGTCATTCAGAAAAGACATCATTCCCAATATCATTTGTTTCCCAATCAACGTCATTTTGGGTCTGTACCAAAATAGATGTCAGAAATTTTCCTTGTATCCATTTGTGATGTATTTGTACGACTTAGAATGAAATATGAAAGATATAAATTACAAATGATAATCTGCATAAATCCACATGCAACTGAATTAATCTACATCTTACGTTTTGAGGGGTGAACAAATAATGATAAAATTGCTTCTCTTTCTATTTTATATCCATTTTCCCTCGTTATTCCCAAACCTTCGATCCCTCAAACCATCACGAGGGGAAATTACAATTTACCAAGAATGACACTTTGTACCTGTCTTACCCCACCCCGCCAAAGTATCAAAAAGAGGTCCTTCCAGCATGACTTAAAAGAATCGACCGGGTCAATCTTACCTTTTCTCAATTCGATATGATCACTTTACTGTCCCCAATTCTGAACACCTTGTATACCGAATGCTGAAGGTCTCAGATAGTTCCCAGTATTACCAGTAGTACCAGTGTTGCCATCCCCAACCCCACCCCCACCACGATTTCCTTCTTGAGTAGCACGTACCAACATATCTTGTAAAATAGGAGCGACATTTCTCGGAGCACCCATAGCTTCCCAAACACCCGAATGATTCCTTTCTTCCAATTGATTAAACTCCGTTCCAGTACCTCCCATACCTTGTGATGATCTATAAGTCGGATGATCCGGAGCGACGTTTAAAGGAAATAATAATCCATCATCATTGGGATTTGAATTTCTTAAAAAATCATTAAAATCTCTTATTCCTATTCCGGGTGAAAGAGGTTTTACTTCAGGAGTATGATTTGAAGAATTTGAATGACTATTAGGTGAAGGATCCATAGAAATGGAATTAGAATTTGTTGTAGTTGAACCACAATTTTGTTGATTACCAGTACTAGTACTAGTACAATTTCCTAATTGACCTGAAACACCTGATAATGAACCTGAACGATTCGTATTGGAACAAGTCCCACTGAATCCAGATAAAGATGCTGGTGTACTACCTTGTCCAGGTGAAGCACAACATATAGAAGCTGATCCTGATGCAGAAGCGGGAGTGTATGAAATGGAACCTGGATTGGTGGCGGATGTGAAAGCGAATGAGAAATCGTATGTTTCACCAGATAAATTAGAGTTGAATGAAGTATTTGAAGAAGTTTGTGTATATTGAGGTAATTGTGTGGTTGATTGTTTATATTGTTTTACGATCGTTAAATCTTGTGCTGTGAGAGGTGAAGATCTAGACATTGAAAGATAATGATCTAAGAAATTGACCATGGCTAATCCAAGGGCGTGTTGTTGACCGTATCGTCCTAACATGGCTTGAACGGTACTGAGATCACCACGGACTTTCAAAGCTTGTTCGAATTTTGAAGCGGACATTAAACGTTGGATATCATTTGCTATTAATCTACCGACGGAGTAAAGAGAGCTGTAAAGTCAGCTTTGAATCTTCCTTAGCACAATGACCGCCATTACACCTCTTGGCGATCACAGCGATCACAATGATGGCCATGGCAGGTGTTCGGGCGAGTGTGCACAAGACGAAATATAGATGACGGATGTGTGTGACCAAGGGGAGGAGAAAAGGACAAATCGGCAACACTCACAATCCAATAACAGGGGTCATGATAGTCGCGACGTCCAAATTAGTCGGGATCAAATGAAGTATCCCAATGATGGAATCACAAGCTCTTCGAATTTTATATAAAGCATCATCCGTCTCGGCGTTTTGTGTCTGTACGAATGGCTCGTACAATAGGGCCAAAGACAAATTAGGCAAGATATGAATAGTCTGTTTATCAACACGTGTGCACAATCCTTGAAAGTCGACAACTCACCAAAACATCAGCATCCAACGCTTGTGGTCCTTGAACTTCGCAGATCTTGAAAAGATTCTTGACTGCATCTGGCACCGTTCGTCTGACCGATTAACGCTTCACCGACGATTAAACACGCAGCGACTCACTTGAAATCATGTAAGTCATGTACCAATGTCAAGAAATCAGGATGTCTCAAACCCGTCATATCGTCTCCAGGTATGATATCTCTCTGTTGCCAAAAATGCAACCATCTGTGAGATCAGTCATGCACTTGATTTGGGATCTTGGGGAAAATTCAACTTACCTAGAAGCTCGACAACTGAGAACGGCAGCTTTGATACTTAACACGAATGGATCTTGTACCGGATGACTAGATATAAGTGTTTGCACTTTTGAAGGAAAGAGAAGAAGAAGAGACGTACTTGTTATACAAATCTGGACTTTGAGCATTTTGTGGGTTTTCCTCTACATAGACTCCTTTTTGAAAATCACATTCACTACCTGGTAATTGCGTTCTCATATCTGATAACTCGAAAGATCTTCCCCAACCCCCGTTGAGGGCGAAGCCTGAGTCGGCAAGGAAAGCATTCCAAAGAAGTCCTAAACGGGCCTCACGATCGATGGAATCGACAGGAGGGGATAACAAAGCGTCTTTGTGACGTTCTTTGGGAAGATTACGATTGTTCAGTTCTAAAACTCTGACCATTCTACCTGGTACACCGGCAGCTTCCCATCCAAGCATGGGTACACCTTTGGAGAAGTAAACGTCGGCTATGATGACCTATTGTTTGATCAGCGCTGTCCTACCGGTCCTACACCTGGGAAGCGTTGGCTGATATCGAGAATGATAATAAGGACGTTATGATGACATGATACAGTAATGAGGGATATGATGTCAAGGGTAAAGGAAATACTCACTCCAGCCATACACTGCTCCAACAACCTAGGACCACCGGCCATATCACAAGTTGTAAAAGCCAAATGTATACATCTCCTAGCCGCTTCTACCTGACTCAAACCGAAATCATCCAATCCTTCCAAATCATTGTTGATAGCTTTATGACGTTCGATAACACTTTCAACTTGTTCTGGAGGTATGCTATTGACCCAAGCTGTATGTAAAGACGCACGAGCACAGATGGCATGTAATAAAGCCGCATCGGGGAAATTAGGGTTGGTTGGGGGTAATTGAATTCTTGGGAGAAAACTGGCTCTGTGAAGCATACGAGGTAATTGTGGTACATGTGTGAAGAAAGTTTCCACGAGATGTTCCAGAAGGACTGAAAATCGTAAGTCTTTTCCTATCACCTCCTCAGATCCGAAACCGGTGATACTTCAATCCATGGAGAAAGGGAGTTAGTGTAGAGGGAAAGGATGAGAATGAATGACTTACATGGTGATGGTAAATTTCTAGGCCAACCAGTAGGAACTAAAAACAGATTTTCAAAACCTGTCGGATCTACAGGAGGTAAAGCTAACGGAGGAATACCACCATCCCAATTTTGTTGATTGTCGATAAATGAAACCGGTTCATTTGACCAAATATTACCACCGCCGGAATAAGATTGTTTTAAAGATGATTTTTCAGATAATGAAGCAAGTGGACGAAGAGCAGCTAACTGTTGTTCCAACTCTGTGATCTTAGCTAATAAAGCAGCTTTTTCTTCAGAATCTCCATCATCATGATGTCTTTTCGCCCCTCGACGCTTCCGTTGTTCTGTTTCGTTGACCGATCGCAGAGGATCGCTAGGAGGTGAGTTCCCTCGAGAATCGGGTGTTTCTACTTCGGTGTATGTACATGTGAGGATAGGTGGGGTGGAAGAGTTTCGTTGAGCTGAACGTAGTGCGTGAGCGTGAGAACGGAGACAAGGTGCGCAAGATGGTCGAGTCTGGAAGATCAGTAATTGATCTTCTATTTGATCTGCCACTGCTTCATACATCCTTCATGAGCAAGAACATTCGTAACAAATATGTTTCAGTCATTGATTGTTCTCCAATGAGGAATTAAGGAATGTGAGGAGGTAAGTAAGTGGTGGTCTGAATGATCTATTGTGACAAGAAGATAGAACGATATGAAATCACCACTCACACCATCACATTTAACCTTTCTCTTCTTACATTGCAAACAAGCATGATTTCTCTTCAAAGGAGCCAATGCCTCATCATCTAAAAGATCGCCATAGGACGGAGGAGCATTGGACGAAGTCGATGACATGTTGCGATCGCTACAGTCGTTGATCTATGTGATAATGCTGATTTGAGTTGATTTGGAAGAGATGTCGAAAGTTGCGGTAATATGTCTGCTTGCTATGATTTCCAGTTGAGATGAGTTGAATGGCTAATACGTCGTGGGACGTAGGGTTGTATGAGCCGAGTGATGAGTGTATACAGTGATGCGACAGAAGGAGAAGGGTAAGATGCAGAAGAGCACGCTGGAAAGGGTTTGAGGTAGAGTAACGACTTGTTTCCCCTCGGTGTGCTTTTGCACGTGTTGGCCGAGGAGGTGACTATCTCGACCGAACCTTTGAGTGTTCTGATCCGGCAGGTACTCTCACTCTCTATCTAAGATGTCTTATGAAGCGATGAGAACAAGAAGAGAAAACGAATCAAGCCGAGAAAAGGTAGAGAGAAGAGGTGAGTAGGTCGACACGTCAGCTTTGGCCGGTGAGTATGTGTGAGTGAGTCGAAGTAGAGTCGGAGCCGAGGCTAAAACTGGCTGCAGTAGACCATTTTTGGCTGGTGAAAACGAGGCCGACGGTCATCGATCCCCGCTTATGGAAGAAAATTACAAATGCAACGGAAATCTTGGCATCACGTGACTTCAGAGATCTCTTTCAGATCTCATCCCCCTCCCCCTCCCCCACAGGACTAGCTTTTAAACTTTAACGGATCCATCTTCTTCCTTCCACCTCTTCCTCGTCCCTTTCCTTGATATTTGCCTCGGGCAAAGTTGACATGTGTACCATCTGAAATGTCTCCTTTGAACGGACGGGCCACTTTGGGCATGAGATAAGACGGTACGTGTTTGAGATGCGACTGGATTCTAGCTGGATGTAATGGAGCGTCGTGACGAAGGTAATTCAAATCAAGGGGGTTCGCAGCAAAGTGGGCCTAAATTTCATCAGCACTGCGCATATCTCATACCACTGTTAGAGGATTAGAGGAGGAAGTCAAAGACATTGGGACATGACTCACTTTGAGCTTTTCACTGTTCAATAATTCTCTCCTCACTTCTTCCCTTCTAGCATCTTGTACACGTTTCGTGGTCACACTCTTTAACGCATCCTCCATCCTATATCTAAACCCGTCAATCTCACTTTTCCTACCACCCCAGTCCCATTCTTTCATCTCTCCTCCACCTTCTTTACTGACCCGGTAAAGGATCCTCTCCCACACCTCCTCGTCGTGCTCCGCGGTGGAGAGGGACACTTGTCTTAGCTTATCTTGACTCCATTTGGAACGGGAAACGATAAAAGAGAGTGATAACCCCGAATGACCGGCTCGAGCCGTCCGACCTACTCGATGCATGTAAGCCGTGGGGTTGGTAGGTAAGTCGAAGTTGATGACGGAAGATGCAGAGGTGAAATCGATTCCTCTGGCAAGAGAGGACGCTGGGTCTTTTTGTCTCTTCTGGCGTTTTCGATTGTTGAGTGGTGGTGGGACTTTCCTCTTACTGGAGCCAGCTTTCTTCTCTTCCGCCACCTCTTCTGCTGCATCATTCCCCTCTCCCCCTTCTTCGGCACCTTCATCAAGTTCAGCCTCAACAGATTGTGATTCTTCCTCTGGTGGCTCTCCATCCCCGGCGACCTCATCAGTAGCAACTATCACATCATAAACCCCTCGATTGAACTCTTCCACTACATGATATCGACTTCCAAGAGGTAATTCAGCATTGACCACGCAGCTCTTGATGCCGAATTGCTCGAGGAATAATTTGACCATATAACCTCTGTCGACAGTGTTGACAAAAACGATGCTTTTACCTCGTATGAGTTTGAGTTTGAGAAGGACGTAAAGAAGGAGAAATTTGTCTCGTTCGGATGTATGAGTGTAGTATTGGGTCAAGAGGGAAGAGGTAGGTTCGGATAAAGTCAAAATGGCCTGTTTGTTAGGACACATTTTCTCCCAGAATTAGCTGTACACCATCATACCGCACTGGCGTTATGAAGAAGTGAGGGCAAGAAGCGGGCAAGTATCATCACTAACTTGTGAGGGGGAGAGACAGAAGTGGTTATAAGTGCTAGATAATTCGTGTGAAGTGAAACTCACAGGATTATGCAAAATCATCCCTTTGATACTTTGCACCTCTTCGCCCAACGTAGCACTCATCAAACAACCTTGTACTCCCAATCTAGGTATCCAACCCTCATTGGGATCACACAATCTCTGCAATTCCTCTTTATGTCCATAACTCAACACCAAGTCCGCTTCATCAATCACCAACAGAACGAGATGTGTCAAGTCGACCTGACGACTCTCCAACAATGTCAATAACCGTGAAGGGGTGGATACGATTATGTCCGGTGAATCGGCGCGGAGGGTGGAAGAGGAAGAAGCGTTGTAGATTGTTATATGCTCGGAATAAGCAAGAAGGGAGGTGATGAATTTTGTCACTTGGAGAGATAATTCTCGTGTGGGGACAAGGATAAGAGAACGGGTCACTTGGTAATTTTCAGAGGCTGGAGACAGGGTCTGATAGATTAGTTGTAATTCGACATATTGTCAATTTTCCCTCTTCTATATCGGCACAGGGGGAAGTGTTCTCATTGTACCGGGATGATCTTGTGACTAATATAATCATGTATTCTGAGAGTTACAGATGGTTGAAGTTGAAGAGTAGTGTGTGAGATAAGATACAAAGCTGATGCGTCGTACTCACCTCTTTCACATCCAAAATCTTCTGTAAAGCAGGAACAGCATAAGCTGCCGTTTTCCCACTTCCCGTTCTAGCTTTAGCCAGCACATCTTTACCTTCTAGTAAAAGAGGTATAGCTTTGGCCTGGACTAAAGTAGGATGAGCGAAGGAAAGATCTGCTAATGCTCGAAGTATACGGGCGTCAAGGAGTGTGGAGAAGGGAGGTTGAGAGAAGAGTTGTTCGGACCTATTGATGAGCTCTGACCTTTTCTCATCCCTTATAGGATTATTCTGCTACATGATGTAGGACTGAGTGGTTGGGAAACTTACTCGAGGAGAGAGTCGGTAGGTGCCATGGTGGGTTATATGGCCTATGCAGGGAAGTACAGTAGTGCAAAAGTTGACAATCGGTGGACGAGCAGTTCTTCTTCTGGGTGAGATTTTCCCACGGTCGTTCACAACCCCGAGCACCGACCCCTCTCGTCACTCGAAGTCTCGAACATGCTACTGAATGCAGGCTCCGTCCTCTGATCAGTACTATACTGGCGTGAGGGGGCGAGTACATCAACTACAAGGTCAGAGACAGCTGAATATGGTCCTTTATTCCGAGAAGACCTCTCTTCCTTTATATCCTCGAAATGAAACAAGTCGGTGTGGGAAACGACATTCGCTCCTTGAAGATATCTTGGAGACGGCATTGTCATTGATCACGAGCTCACCTCTCACTCGCACGCTGATATATACATCCCCCACTCATTCGCGTTCTCTCTCTTCGATATCTCCCATATCTCACAAACACCAACTTCCGTATTTCACAAACACCGTCTAAGTAAACAACTGCCTCAAGCAAAAGTATCATGGCCGGACCTCATGTCACCGGTCCCCACTCCCGTCGAGGTCATCGATCTTCTCGACCCAGTGCCACATACAGAAACACCACACACAGGATCGCTAACTCGTCTATTCACACCAACCGTGCATTTCACGAGGTATCCCCGACTCAAGATTCTAGGACTGCTGAGGCTTTACACTTTATCCTCAGTACCATACCGGCCCAATCTCAGACAGGAGTAAGGGAAGACACGGTAAATGGGATCCTCCTAACAATCATGACACAAGTCATTGAAGTGGGGTCATCTCAAATGGGCCAACCGGATTTTTCTGTATTTGACCAAACACAGGATGATGAGACAGAAAGGGCTTTTGAAAGTATGTTATCTATTTGGGGAGAAGGAAGTAAGAAAAGTGATATAGCCAAGGACCTTTGGGATATCTGTCAGCCGCCTGGGGAAGAAATGGATTTGACCGAGGAGACGGTGGAAGAACATGAGGAAATCGAGATGGTGGATGATGAGATAATGCAGAGTTGAGATGATGTGTCAAGTATAAAGACCGGGAGACATGGGAAGATGAAAATCTATTTCGTGTGAGTTTGATCATTGTCGTTCTTACCTACGTGTATCATACGACCATACTATAGTGGACGAATGAAACGTTTGATGTTAGTACTTCTGACCAGGGGCAACATGTCACAACCGTCACAGATGAGACGGACGAACATGAAAGGAGAATTGAGTAAGAACGAGTCATTTAATTATCATGGTGTCAAGCTCCAGGCAGCTGACCCTTGGTCTGTCCTCCTGGACCAGATATCGTCCTTTGAGGATATCTGATACGTGTTACGGCTTACTGATCTCAGGATCACTCAATCGCACGAATAATCATTTGACCAATGGTGCAGATCTATCTATCGCACTCCTCATTGTATTGCACCACCACCCACGCAACACATTCATATACTCCCATCTGATCATGTTCCAACCTGAAATCTCACAACCGGCTTCTACGACATGTCCTTCTCAGCTAACCACTGAAAATACTATCACCTGGCCTTAGCAAGCATCATTTACTGTCGACCGTCACTCTGCCACTGAGACGGCACCTCAAACATGGGAATTCGAACCTACGGACCCTGCTCAAATGGCCATGGAAGATCAGAGACGGACGGATAGAGCAGAATTTGATGTTCTCAGGGCTCGTCAAAGACTGATGGATCATGTCTCCACGGTGATCTTCGATGCTCAACCTTCCACGACACTCACCGTCCCACCCGATTTCACGGTCTTTGATCGTCCACAGGTTTCTCAAGTGGAGAATGACTTTCAAGTTCTTATCGACCATACATTCGATGGAGAGAGTAAAGCTGAAGTAGCTAAAACGCTTTGGAGGCAATGTGAATTGGATATGAAGGATATGAATGAGACGATTGAGTGGTCCGGGTGGCCTCAGGAAGAAGAGGGCAAGTCGTGAGTCGTAAATCGGGAGGGAAGTGCCCGCACGCAGGGAATCCAGAGAAGTATGTGGGTAGTTATGTCACGAGTTAATGCTACATGCTACATCTACAGATGGAGGCTTCTCTACTTTTGGAATAACAATTCATTTAGGATTGATTGTGATGAGGAATCTGGCCCATTTGTCAGATATGTAGCTTCGCGGAGTATGAAAGACAAGCGAGCTTGATACAATTCTGTTAGACCCGGCCGAATTTGTTATCTTTCTCAGGACGAGCGGAGATGAAACACTCGGATCCAAGTAGCCGAGAGACCGTGCTGTCCTGATGGAGACAAGCCAGTGGCCAGTGAATTGTCACTACCGAGTCATAGGTGTGACGATGTACTGATATGGTATGGTATTTCTGCCACGTTTGGGGTGGAATGCCACATTTGCGTTGTATGGAATGCGCCACTAGCAAATCCTCTCTGTCGAATTTGACCTGTCTCTCTCTCTCTCTCTGTCTCTCTTCCCCCCCCCCCCCTTCCCTCCCTTCCCCCCATCAACCTCGTCTACCCCTTTCCCTCTATCCCCACTCGGTAATCTTCTTTCTTCTTTCTTCCCCTGCACAGTCTCAATCTCTATCGTCCGTCTCTCGGGGTCAGTGTAGACGTCGTATTCCGACCGTCCTTTGTCCCACCTCCCGCACCTCGGTTAGACATCGCAACTTGCTCGCTGGCTATACAACCTCCTATCATCTCTATTCAACTTCGTATCTCTCCTCAAGCCGTATCGCCGTGGTCTCCGACTTATCGAGACCGAGTCTTTCTGAGATCAAATACACAGCTTAAACTATGAATCTCTAAGTCAAGACCCAAGACCCAAGCTCATTTTTTCATTGCTTTTCTTCCCAAGCCTCCCTCTCCTTACGCCATGTCCCTCCCTCGGACTCAACCGCCGGGTCAAAACAGATACCCATCACATCCTAATCCTCCTCTACCCCATTATCCTCCTTATGTAAGGACGGACATACCTCAACAACCGGTATTCTCGCCATCTGAAGAAATTCGTATGCAGACATCACAACAACAACATGTCGCACATTCCTTTTCACACTACCCTCCGCCCCCGCTTGATAAACGTCGTTATCTTGCCTATAACGGAACGGAGATCAAACATGCTGCTGGAAGGAGGTCTGAAGGTGATGATCAGGTGGTCGGAAAGAAGCGTCATAGAGAAGAATCAGAAGCAGGTCCATCTTCAGCTAAGAAATCCCCATCAACACCTTCAGGTAGACCTCCTCTCGATGGTAACAATCGCCCAAAGGCGGCTTCCAGTCATAGTGGTGCCGCTGCAGATTCACCAAATTCCACCATGCCAGCTGTTTTGATAAGGGAAAAGAAACAGAAGGCATGCGCAAATTGCAGAAGGGCGAAATTGAAATGTATCGTCGAACCTGGAGAGGCGGATTGTGTCAGATGTCGAGCCAGACAAGAGAAATGTATTTTTTACCCAAGAACTCATGTATGTCACTTTGATAGAAGTAAATGAATATCGCTAATGAACAGGACGACGATTGGCAGCAGATCGTCACGACGGATTGCTATAATGCTATTCGGCACGTGTCACATCTTTCTGCTGCCGTACATCATCTTTTACACCACTTGACAGCGAGAAACCTCATTCCACCATTCTATCTTCCCAATGGTGAACGATTAGAGAGGTTCGATCCTCCTGAAAGGGATATGGCCCTGTTGCAAGGTTGGGGAGCTGAAAGAAATCGAGATCTCGGAGCGGAGGATAATCGAAAACGGTCCAAGAGACGAATGAGTAAGTTGGAAGATGGAGAAGATGATCAATGGCTAGACGGTGAATCTCGAAGAGGCGGAGAAAATGGAATCAAACAATCACTCAACACCAATGGAGGTTCACAGTTCATGTATCCTTCCTCGGGAGAATCGCATCGTCATAACAGTATCTCGGGTGAGCGCTTTCCTCCCAGTGGTTGGGGAACGCCTCAACAAACACCTTCTTTGCCAAATCGGCAGTCCGCTCCTCTACTTCCTCCTTTCCGCGCTTTGAATCATCCCGGGGCCATACAGCTCACTCCGGCGTCAGAACTGGATATCCCTCAACCCTTCCCTTCGGGTCAACTTCCCCCTCCGAACGGGAGTGTCTCTGCGCCCTCGGTACCCCCTTCGGCTCAGATCCAACATGTGTCCCTCACCGCACAAGATGTTTCTCCCGGTTCGATCGTACAAAATGTTACGCCCAGTAGCATGACATCGTCGTCACCTATTCGGCATACTTCAGGATATACCGATAACCCACCACATCAAGGGTATTCTTCAATGACTATCACCACGGCCCTTCAGCCTCCGCCAAGGGATGAGACAGGTAACGAAATCGTACTTGGCTCTGAAGATCCTCGACCGAATGTCATCACCAAGCTCATCGTTCCGCCTCGTGACGCTTGGACACTTGTGGCGTAGTGAGTTTCGTCATCAGTCTCAGTCCTCATGCTGATGATAGCTTCCATGCTAATATGTCGCCTCTGTTATTCGGCTACCAGCTCGAGCTGGGCCAATTCCCATATCTTCCTGAAGGGCCCAGAGTCATCACTCCGCTTATCCTTGGCGTCATGTGTCTGCTCGCTTCCGAGCGGATACCCAAATTGTTCCAATATCACACCAATTTAGCAGACGAGGTCAAGGATCTCCTTCTGAAGTCACCCGCCGAAAGCTGGCAGGATCTCGCCAGCGCCACTAAGGTCATCGACGATAAGGATGAAGACCAGCTGGATCCTGAACTGGGTATAGGTCCGGAGGAGATTGTGGCGGCCTGTGTACTTGCCACGTGGATGAGTGAACGACCCGAAGCTGCGACCATTGCTGCTTCTGCATTCAAATGGGCACGTGGATGGATCAAGGTGAGCTCTTTTCTGGGGTCGTTTTGACCGTATGGCTGACGTTGTAGTTGTTGAACGGTTCTCCAAGATATACCATCGCCGCTGCGACAGGTATTGTTCCGGAAGAACGCAAAGCTTCAAATCATGATATGGCTCGTATCTGGCTTCTTTGTTATGTACGTTATTTAGGTAAAAAAGAAGATCTAATCGCTGACGTTTCAGATTGTCGACGGGACAGAAGCTCTGCAACGTAATGCTCCGCCATCAGGTCGTGATCCACTACGATATTGTGAAATTCTCATACCTGCTGACCCTCGACCTCGAGTGCGATACGATCCTCACGACATTCTCCTCACTCTCCACGCACGCCTCATCGATACACTCAGGGAATGGTATATCCGTCGAGCAGACATTCATAATTCCGGTCACGGACCAGAAAGGCAATATAGTTTACTGTGTCGATTGGGTGACTCCACTGCTGCCCAGTTGAACTTGTGGAAAGAATCTTTAGACCAGATGGGTCTTGATGGAATGTGGACAAGACAAATACACGTGTTTTACGGATTCGCCAGAGTACTTGTGAATGCCAATGTGGCTCAATTACCGGATCGTGACTTGTTAAGGAGGAGAAACCATTATGCCATCGGAGTGGACTCGGCTTTGCTCATGTTGGAGGGTTGTTTGCAGTGGAAGGCATATGAACTTTCACATTTACCTCCGTTCCATCTTTACGTGAGTTACCTACATGTCAACTATGGGAGGATCAGCTGATTCGATAGATGATCACCGTAGCGTGTTCTTTCTTGGTTGAGTCGGTGAGAGATACTCAAAATTGGAGTCGAGAGGGAGATATAATGCCTATTGAGGGGCGTGATAGTATGTTTGGTCATTTTCGTCCTCCTCTCCTCTAAATCATCTTTCCATACGCCGTTGACTATAGACATCTCGGGGACCTGGTTCTTCACCGGGCAACTTTCCTGTCGGATTGCTTTGTGAAAGAGAAGATGGCTAATTCTCAGTGGTACATCCTATTCGCGCACTGAGCGCTTTGCTTTTACATTCCGACCTTCACCAGGGTCATGTCGCTAAAGTCACCGCGGCAGCCTTGGCCCGATATGCCAAAGAGATCGAGGCGATGTGCTGAGTTATCCCGTTTGCCTAACCGATCCTCTGCCAACCGACCTCACAACCATACACCGTAGGGCGTGCGGAAAACAACTGTCAATCGATCGACGCGAATATCGAAGCATCGATGATCGATGCTGCTTCAATAATCGATACTGCTTCGATAATTGATACTGCTTCGATAATCAATACGATCCCATTGCCCTAAAACAATCCAGTCTCAGACAGTCGCGATCCTTGCCATCTCGCGATCTCCAATATAAGATTCGACACTGTGTCATGAGCAACGAACCAATCCACAATTTACGATGAACGAATCTAAAATTTCAAAACCCGCAATCTGCAATCTGCAATCTGCAATCTCCAACGAAACCATCACGATCCCTCAATTTACCATCTAGCATGATGACGATCTTAAACGACTGAGAAATGATTCGACGATCTCACCGGTCCACCGTATTTACGGCGAATATGAAAAAAAAAACGAAACAATGACCCCGTATGCCATATGTGTACATCAAACATCGTGTACATTTTCCATGTGTATAATATCAAGTACATAAAATATCTACGATCTACGAATCTGACTCATAAAATCTCAGGGATCCAGGGAGCTCAAAAGGCATGTGTATCTAGTGTGTAGTATGACATATTGTTATATCATGTCAATCTTTTTCTTTCTTTTTTTACAAAATAAACTCTTATGTATATCTTCATAAATCGGCATAAATCGGAGATCCGGGAAGATGATCTTTTTTTCCCTCTAACACCAATCAGCTCGGTCTGACTAATAAATCTCATCCGATTCGCTTCTCATCTGACTCGTTTACCCCCACTTGAAATCTCGGAGGCCGGGGGGTTGATCCGAAAGATTGACGTTAAAGGGTGACTTATGTAAATGGAAGATCGTCAATGACGAGACCGAGGTATAGGTTCGAAGAAAGTGTGGAGTGGGTAAGATCATTTTGTGGGTGAATAAAGACTTGATCTGCATTTGAGGATAAGATGGTACGATGACGGTTCATCTTTATGTTTTTGTTCATTGGGGAAAAAAAAGGAGGGATACGTAGCGCCGAGAGCGGCGGATGGTGGGTTGGTGGCGTTAAACCGGGGAAGATACGCCCCTATAGGGCGTCCCCGGATGGAAGGTTGAAGATTTTGTAAGGAAAGATCGACGAGGAAAGATGTGATGTGGAGGTGGCGATGTTTTAGTGGGGGATTGAAAATGAAATGAATGGGAGTGTTGCATGTTGTAAGAAGTGTTTACAAGTGACTACTAGTCGATATGATGGTACTGTATGAGTGAAAGGGTATGGTAGTGAGGTTCATGTGTTGTCTGTCATCAGCAATGAATGATCTTTTCTTTGCTGAGAAATGGGATGAGGTGGTATGGTTATGTGATATATCGACAAGAGGATACCTCTCACGTCTTTGTTGATATGATGAATGATGGATTCGTCCAGGTCAAGAGGAAAACTGTTTGGTATAGTCGTATAGCTGTATTACGAGCGTACTTGAAGTGAAAGAAAGGGTTGAGAGCTAGATGAAACTATGAGAGTATTACTCACAATCATAGAAAAGATCATGTTTCTATCTCACCACTGTTGAATATGAAGACAATTACTAGAGCAAAATTTATCATCTTAAACCGAAAGATATCTGATCACGAATCGCCAATGGCTAGTCGCCAGTCCAGTTGCCGGTTGCCAGTCGCCAGTCCTCTGACTCGGAAATCATAATCGAGTGACCAGAAAGGTCTTCATCAAAGAAGATCAGATGGGGGTGAAATTGAATCGTTCTCATGTGAAGAGTGAGTTTATCGAAGTTGAGTCGACTAAATCTAGTAAAAAGTTAGTCGAAAAGGAAGAGGAACAAAGATGGATCTCGGCGTTCGAAGTCCAGACCTTGTGGTTCATTAAACTGAGTCATTGAGATGCCGGATGATGGATGAAGTAGTCAAGAATATGATTTTGATTTCATGATTCTATGATTTCATTATTTCATGATCAAATGACCAAAATGATCACTCTTGTAGCTACCTTTTATTATCGATTTTCTCTCCCTCCTCTGCCTGTAGCCTGGATTATCAATCACAACTTTTTGAGATCCGGTGTCATAACGTTTTCTTCCGGTTGATGTACTCGTACCGTATGCTCCATCTAACAAGATCTACCGGGGATGGATGGATTGAACGGCGTAAATTCTCCGCGGGATCTAAAAGTTCATCATCATCATCACCAGGATCAGGAACGAGTGTCTAGTGTCATTATTCTTTGATAGAAAGAGAAACATTGATGAAGATATTTTCTTCAAAAGTTGGAATATATATATGTGACGCCGAGTTCACTTTGATTGAGGGATTTCTTTTTTGAATTGATTATGTTTCATCTCCTTCATGTTGTTCGTTGATCTTCCGAGGCGAGTGTGATGGGGTAAAATTGTGGATGAGAGATGATCATTGAAGGATTTGTGTTGCACTCCGGAAAGAAGGAAGGGGAAGAAGAAGTGGGAAGGTCTAGGAGGGGACTTACGTCCTTGAAAACCTCCAGAATCGAAAATGTCGAGGGTTTGATATTCCAGGTTTTCGTCGGGTTGCATGATTTATCGTGATTAGTCTAATGGGAAGCGTAGGTGTTCTATGAGTGAATGAAACAACCCTCTTAGACAGAATGACTATACCACTCTTTCCTCCGCCCGACACTCCATGGCCATCGACTCACCATGCGGCAACCTCACTTCACGTCCACCTCGAGGTCATTAGGATCAAGTCGATCTTGCAACATCGACCCGTCTCAACAACCCGCATATCCGAAGTTCAGAAAGTATCTCTCATCATTCCCGACTTTCATGACCTTCATGACCTCATTACCTCATGATATGACAAATCACCTCGCAGATCGATGATTTCCCGCCCTAAGTCATGACTCCGAAACCGTGACAATGAGAGAATCAGACCATGCGGATAAGATGACGCCAAGCGAAGATTGAGGTCCTTAAGTTACCATATCTAAGTCACCACCCTTGAAAATAATAGTTAGACAGATGGGCTTGACTGATCTCCATTAGCTACCCTGGTGGATCGTGGGGATAAAGCTGCGGGCGGCTGTACCGCCGTTTTTTTATGAATGATCCGTCAGTCACCCCCGGATCAGTCATTGTTCATCCGTCCATCCTTCCAGACTTGCAACAAAGGTTTGTCAAATTCGTCCTGTTCTTGAGTAGTCACGCGATGAATGATGGAATGATTTTAGAAAGGAAAACTCGAGCGTCCGAGCACCGAGCACAGCCCCTGAAACCCTTAGACTTTCCTTCCTTCCGCGCCCCCTTGATCGGTACTCTTTGAACTTACCCCAAGCGGTTAAAGTGGAAAGAATTGCATAGATGACGACGTGAGTACATAGGAGGATCGACTGTACGTGATCCCATCATTCAGTTCGTCCTATTCGGTGAAAACGGCGATCCATCCTTTGTTCCTATGTGCCAACACACTTTGGACCACTCCATTCAAAAAGAAAAAAGAGGGAAAAGCCCATCATCATATATCGACCATCATACCATCATCATCATCATCATACTTACATACCTTATTCGTACATACACCTTTGTCTCAACTTTACTCCGCCGTCTCATCTTATCCCTCCCCCACTCGGAAACAACTCACCGTATCACCGTATCGTATCCACTTTAAGACAGACGACATCTCTTTTTTTTTGGATGAGCGGTGAAAGCACGAGGTTACCGCTCCTCGCTTGATTTCAAAACTCACCCTATACGTTCTACTGGCTTGAATCTCATTTCCCGAACCTTTAAAACTCACTCCCGCCTAGGTCGGATCATGAACCCCTGCATCGCCGTTGCCGAACGAGAAAGCCACCGTCTTACCCTACATATAAATTACACACCGCAACTCCGACCCGAACACGACTGGATCCTAGACAAACTTCGGACCCTGTTTGCCCTACGTATTGAGGACAGCAATTCGGTCATTGAAACTTCCGCAATCGTTGGTTGATAAAAAGGTATCAAGATCGATCTCACATTTTATCTTTCTCAGATCTCCCGAACATCTCACAAACAACTCAAACTTTCATCTGCCAATCGAGATCTAATCTATCAATCACCATCTACCCTCAGTGATCATGTTCCCACCAAGACTACCCACACCTCCTGGATCAGAACCCATTCCATCGCTCATCTTGTGTGCCGATGGTGGTGGTTCTAAAGTATGTGTCGTGATCCGTTCAAGAGATGGAGTGGAAGGTAGAGGAACAGCTGGACCTTGTAACGTGTACGTCATCCATTCTATTTCCATCCCCTGTACTCGCTACTATCACCGAGGTCAGACAAAACGATCGATCTCATATGCTGATTCTTATCAGACAAAGCGTCGGTCCCGGTCCAGCTATACAAGCATTACTTCTAGCTACCTATCGAGCTCTTTCCCAACTCCCCCGACCTTATCTTCCCGCAGGATTGAAAATCCCCGAACTTCCTCATGATCCTCAACAACCCATTCAGATCTTACCTCCTCCACCACCTAAACCATTCCGACCCGGCGAAGCGGCTCGGATCTTAAAAGCTTCTCATCTCCCAGCCTTATCGATACCCTCCACACCCATCAATTCCCGTCCTCCTTCGCCGGAAACCTTTCGCACCTTGTTACCTCCTCTCAATGTGGACGCTTTCCAGTACGCCTGGCTCGGTCTGGCCGGCATATCCACCACCGGTGATGCCCGAGCGTTCTTACCCCATGTGGTAAATGGTTTGCGTATCCGCTCGGACCGGGTCAAGATCACAAATGGTGCGTGTCCCCTCTTTTCCTTCATCTGTTGTTGTTTTTTCCAACGTGGCTGATAGACAGACGTAAATCTCTTGGCCGCACCTGCTTTAGACATAGGTGTTAAACACGTCATTGCGGTGGTATGCGGAACCGGTACTGTCGGTCGGACCATCCGGGTTAATCAGCCGGTTGCGGGAAGGGCGACACCTGATTCAGATACGGGGCGGTGTGTGCCAGAAGTAGGAAGCTTGCCTTTGGAAGATGTGGCTGTTAGTAGGGGATGGGGTTACATGTGGGTTTACTGTTTCTTTTACATCATTCTCATCGTCATCCTTCTTTTTTCTTTTCTATTCCTACTTCTTCCTCAACTTTCAGCCGTTTCCGCATATATACTTAGGGATATTCAAAAGAAGGTGGCTGAAATGAGACAGGTTGTGTGACGAAGGATCCGCATTTTGGCTTGGAAGACTCGCTATACGCCTTTTACTATCCTACGCTGATCGTGTATCATCTTGCGCCATTTACGCTTCACCGCCACCGCCCCATCTTCCCTTATACGATGAACTACTACGTTATTTCGGCGTGCAAGATCCAATGCTTTTGATCGAACTAACATCCCTTACTTCTTGGGAGGGAAGTACAGGAGAAGCCGTAGCACGTCGTAATGCGATGGTGGCTGGTTCTGCTAGGATCGTTTTATCATGGGCGTTTGACCGTTCGTCTCCACCTTCCCCCCACGCTCTTGCCGATCCACGTTCACCGGACGATCCAATGGAGGCAAGCCGACGCGAAGCTCGAGCGTTGGCGAAGAAATCTATTGGACCAATGATTGAACTCACCCTGGATTTATTAGGTGACGGTAGTACGGTAACACCCGAAGACACCGCTTTGGTTTTAGGTGGAGGATTATGGCAAAGTAGAGGATATAGGGATCTTTTATTGGAAGGTTTAAGGAAACAAGGAGTGGTCTTCAGTCAAGTCAGAGTGGTTCAAGATGCCGCGGGAGAAGGTGCGAAAGGTTTAGCAAGGGTTGAATTTGCATAAAGTAAAAAGAGAAGAAAGATTCTATCGATCTTTTGATCTTTTTTTTGTTGAAAAAGTGTAAGAGGTAAAGGTTGTCATCTCTGCAATGCATATCAAAGTGGACAATGCTCATACATCTTGAAATAGAATGAAAGTTGTGATTTTGGACTCTCAATAATATTATCGAGTCAATGATGCATAGAGTTTGTCGTGTCTTATCTTTTCCTTCTCATCCTGATTGTTATCGCAATGTCCATTTCTTCCCCGTCACCTTCAGTGTTCAAACGATCATGATCAACTTTTGAATGACGAGTAGTACAATCCTCAAGAGCGGATCCGGCAAGACTTTACCCATCCCCGGATCGTCAGGTCAAGTGAAAATTTGACATTGAAAATATCAGCGCACGCAACTTGTCGTTCAATTTTCCACTTTTCGGTAATCTCAACCGATATACGACATGCGTACACACGAGGTATCACTTGATACTAAGGGTAAAGATCTCCGGGTCAAGCGCCGAAATCGAGTCAACGGTCAACGGTCAACGGTCATTACCTCCTCCATAACGGCGAGTATTCCGATTTTACTAACTTTTTTTGAATATCGTAAGTCTAATGAAATTTCCGAGATTCTAGGGAATAAATCGAATCATCTTCAACCTGATTTTTTCTGGGAGATCTGTGGCCGGCCTGTGGGATATTGAAAATCTATTTCCTTTCACCCTGTCCGAAAATTTGAATAATCAAGTGTGTAGATCTGCCTACTGCGTGAACTTGAGAGACGAATGTACGATATCGGACAATTCATATGGGGAAGAATTCGTCAATGGAAATTTCACTATTAGGGATAAAGTACGTACGTAACTCTTTAAAATATCCCCACGAAATATTTACCCATGTACCGACTGATATGTATGTCATTGTAAAATGAGTCACAAGAGTCAAGTGAAGATATGTGATTCAGTCGTCGTTAAGATCTGCAATGGGGAGAAAAGAATGGGTCCCATCCCGCTATTCTCGGACGATAGACGCCAAGAGAATGGAATATCAACCCGTAGCTGCCAAGAAGATCTCGATCGATCTTCCGATGCGAAGCGCCAGTAGCAGATGGTCAGTGACGGTGTAACAAGAGACCGCGAATCTTGACAGGATGTTTAACAGAAAGATGGTTTGCACCAATCATCTGATTAGCATGCCAACTTGATGTTCAAATCATGTGTTGAAGACTCGATGCTCAAGGAGTGGAAAGCGATCAGAGACCAGAGGACTGGTGATCGAAGTATAGAAATGGTGATCTTCAGATCGAAGGCGACATGAGAAAAGTTGTTTAGAGTTTGATGATCTTCAACTTGTGATTCTGAAGATTGACATGAATCGCTTTCATTATATGATCCACGGTAGATTAGCATGATTAGGATGAGCCATGTTAGCGTTGAAGGGGATGTCGATTTTGAGCGATAACGCTTGATAGATTTATGCACCAAGTATGCGATCGTGAGAGATCGTCCGAGGTAATGACATGAGAGCTTCAAAAGATCTTGCTTTGGCTTTCGGTCCTCAACTCGAGAGGATCGAAGGGCTGCTTGAGATCGAATGGCCGGAGAGTGTCGGGCCGATGACTTTTCAAGTATTTGTATCTTGTTGTACTGTAGCTGGAGTATACTTTGCGACGGGTATATGAGTGTCATTGAACGTTCAATTGTGAGTCGTAAGTACGGTAGACTCTGATACTTCTCAAGGTTCAGTAGTCTTACAGTTCAACATACTCGACCCTGAAGCCCGAACATGGTCAAATTATCATCGATCACATGGCTTCATAAATTACGATGGACCAGATTATGCCATGACGAGATACAACATATGTTTTGCGTGTGTATTTTGGAGCAAGGTTGGAAATGGTAGATTAGGAGTGAGAGTGGTATGGGTGATGGGAGTGGTATGGGTGATGGGAACACAAAGCACCGAGCACGCAAATTATACACATGACAGCTGAATTGGGTTTGTTGAAGTAAAATGCCCCGTCCATGCCGGGGACGGGTCAGCGATCGGCGGGGGAGGAGAAACGTCTAGCGTTGTCCAGGAGGTTGTTGTTGTTGGGAGAGATCAGCCATAGAGGCGATGGCGGAGAAAGGGGGTAAAGTGGGTTTATCGCGAGGCGAGTTGCTGGCTGGAGGCTAGGATGTCAGCTTGGTCAAGTAGGCACTGTGTCCATCGAACGCACATCCCAATACGAGTAAGGTGGGAGGAAAAGATGTCATTCGTCAGATGGAGAAACGACGGATGAGATGTTCATTTCTCCGAAACGATGATTGAGATGTGAGAGTAAATCGAAAGGTTTGCTAAGCGACGCAGTTAGGAACGACTTACTACTCGGAACATGGGATTGATCTGGAAGTACTGTCCTTGCCCTTCCTGAGCACCTGGTTGATTGGGAGTTGCCTCGCCCTGAGCCTGCCCTTCTACCCAAGTCTCCAACCCTGGTATAGCTCTCTCTCTTCCCATCCCGATACCTTGAGCCACTGCAGAACCTTGAGGATGGCCATATGGACTAGTTGGAACTGAATGACCCTGTGCCGGTGATGGTCCAGCATGCAAATACGCTTCATTGTGCACCCCCACATGACCGGTACCTCGTCTTCCGCTGTGTCTCCCGAGAGATTGAGTTGACGATGAGGCGACAGTGGCGTGGAGATGAAAGTCGTGTGCCAATTGCGTTTCTAAGGAGGGGTTGGAGCTGGACATGAGACGTGGAGTGGGGTGTCGTGTGGTATAGGAATGAACAGAAGGAGCTCTTCTGGCTTCGGGATTGTGGGTGTCCCATGCTTCGCGTGAAACTCTCCGTGGACCCGGACTAGGGTATCAGCATCGCATATATATCCTCACTCTCGTCACGACACGCAACTCAGAACTGCAAAAAGAAACGTTGACTCACTCGCTATCAATCGTACCAACTGTCAATACACTCCTACTACGCATATCATTCAAACCGAAACTTGACATCGAATGATCATCGTCCCCAGTCTTTCTCCTCGCCTTATGACGACTTTCCGTCCCGTCTCCTGTGAGATTATCCTGAGCCGCTTGCAGAGCCGCTGTAGACAATGGTGGTTGACGTTGTCCCTCGTACAGGGTCCGGTACACAGGTCGACCATA